AGTCACACCACACGGCGGCCCTGGGAGAAGCAGGCGGCACCCTGTGTCCTCGGACGTGAGGGTCCAGTGCACCTCTGGGGACACAGGAGCACAGACCCCTGCCCCAGCCGACTCCTCTTCCGGGGTGGGAGGCCATGGGGCCAGGTCCTGGTGTCGCTCATCCGGCGGCTCCTGCCTCAGCCACATCCACCTGCCACCCAGCACAGGGTCCACCCGGGAAACGGGCTCACTGGAAGGGGCCACTGCTGTCCTCTGCGCAGAGCCCCGCTTGGACCGGACGGGCTTCTCACGGAAGCCACGTGTGTGCTCTGTGCCGAGGGGTGTAGGCAAAGGGGGAGGGGTGTTCTGGGCAGACAGACAGACAGCACGAGGTCTAGTGGCTGCAGGGAGCAGCAGGTGTCCAGAGCCTGGGCTGAGACCTGCTGGCTGAGGGAGCAGGCTGGCCCTCACCCTTGGCACCTGTGCCTTCCCACCGACGACAGCACCCTCTGTGCCCGGCTCTCCCCCTGGGGGACACTCTGCCCGCAGACACCTGCCTGTTTTCTGTCCGCACCTCCCTCCTCTGTGGGTCTGTCTCTCTGCCCCTTTGTCTTCTGAACCTCTCTGCTCTCCGAGCCCCAGCAAGTGTCTGCCAGGCATCACCCTCATCGGCCCCGTTCAGACCCCAGTGCAGGGTGGGTGTGCCCCTCCTGGCCTCCTCGGGGTGCCCCGCTCAGCGCAGCCAGGCCTCCTGATTCTACAGGCCCTGCCCACACCTTGGTGCCTCCTGGCTCCCCCAGCTCTCTCTTCCTCCCGGAGACAGGCTGGATGGAGAAGGAGGCCGACTGGGGGTGTCCCTGAGAAGAGGGTCTGAGGGTGTGGATGCACACCCGCCCCACTCCATCCCTTCTTTTGCTGCCGGCAACGACTTGCCGCTGTTCCGGTGGCGCCCCCTGGTGGCGACCGCCTGTGTCCTGGCCGGGGTCCAGGCCCTGATGGGACTCCCTCCCCCCGGGGCTCCCAGGCCTCAGAAGCTGCACCCCGGCTCCTTACGTCTTCCTTCTTCGCCCCGCTGGCACCACCTGGCAGGCCCCTGGGTCTTTGCAGCTGTTCCATCTGGAAGTTCTCCCCCTGCATCTGTGCAACCCCTTCTCCTTATCACCTAGGTCTCTGCCCTCAGGTGACTTCCCTGGGGGCAGACCATCCCTCTGACTCAGCACCCGCTTAGCCTGCACAATGCCGGAGCTCAGACAGGCTAGCGAGACAGGGCTGGAGGGACCCTGGACACCAAGGAGCAACACCCAAGGACTTAGGGACAAGTGTAGAGGCCTGTGGTCAGGCCGCTGGCATCCAAGCATGTGGTCTTGCCGAGCCGCTCCTCAAAACTGCCACGTAATCCCACCACCCTGCCGCGCGGACTCACGGGCAGGAGGGTGGGCCTTGCCTGCTGTCCAGAGGGGCGGGCACTCAGCCACCAGAGTCAAACATGGCTACCTGCCGGCCTCACCTGAGCCGAGAACAGGAGGCTTGGGCCTGACAGGGCCTCCTTCCCAGGGGCTGGCCCTGGGCCAGCAGCAACATCCCACTGTGAAGTACTCATTGTCCGCCGAGGCCCAGACGGAGGGAATGGCTGCAGCTTGAGGGCAGACACCAGGAGACGGGGGACCGGAGGTGAGGGGCTGCTCTGTCTGACCAGGGCAGCCAGACCCCCGTGACCCTGGACAAGCTGGGTTGCCTACACCTGAGCGACCCATGGCAGCCACGTTTTCTGTCCTCGTGACGCGCACCTTGAGATCCCCAGGGAATGTGGGACAGACAGACGGGGTGGCTCCGGCCAGGGGAGGCTCCAGCATTAGAGGTGTGTGTGGGCATGTGCCCTGGGACCCTGCCGAGGGGAAGGTGGGGCCACCCCACCCTGCCCTTTCCTGGGTAGCTGGGCCCAGGTCCCTCCAGAGTGAGGAAGGGGTCCTCTGCATGAGAAACGGGCCATCAGGTTGCTGGTGGGCTGGACACCCCGTCTTCTCCAGACCCCACCCCTTAGCTTCCTTCTCGTGTCCAGAGAAGTACCTGGAGAGCCGTCACGTGTGCACATGCATGTGCTTGGGGGCAAACCCGACGTGTGTCGTGTGGGTGAGGGACAAGGCTCCTGCTACCCGAAGGCGAGAGCGTGTGTGCGAGCTGCCCGGGGTGCATTCGTGCCAATGAGTGAGGAAGGAGTGTGTACCACCCAGTGCCGGCTCAAACCTGGGTGTCCCCGTTGTAACTTCTGGAACGCTGAATGTGCGTGTGCTGTCCCACATGGCTGAGTGGGAGCCCAGAGACTAGAGGGGCTCGTTTCTGGCCCGGAATATCCTCTGTTCCTTCCAAGGGTATGTGCTGGCGTAGGCTGGTCAGAGCTGAATGATTTTGAGTCTGAAGATCCCAAAATAGCTCTTGGTAGCTGTGTTCCCCTCCCCCTGCTGGGTCTGGGGCCTCAATGGCCCTTTGTCTCTCTGAAGGCATGGAGCGTGGAGCCCCTGTGGGGGTCTCAGACTCTGACTGAGGCCAGAAAGGACAGGCTGCCTGCTGGTTCCCCTTCCCCCATGTGAGCCTCTGAAAGCGAGACAGTCAGCCCCCACCGCACCCCAGACTCACACGGGTCCCTAGGCCGGCCCCTCCCACAGCCTGGTGGCTTTATCCCCTTCGTCCTGCAGTCTTCCCGTGTTGCTGTGGCCGTAGCAGACGGCGCCCGTGTGCTTGGGCATGTGAGCATTGCCTGGCGTTTGACCCCTGGCACTGTCCCGGGGCCCTTGCTGAGCCAAGGGATGTGGATCCTGGGGAACTGCAGTGACAAGTAAATGGGAAAATGTGTGAACCGCCTGGCTCACCACACCAAGTGTCTGGGCTCTGAGCCAAGCCCTGCCCCAAGAAGATAAAAAGTCAGACCCTGCCCCGGGTGCTCCCGGTCCAGGGTGGCGCCCTGGGGAGCTGCCGGCACTCCGTGTGGTGTGGACAGTGCCAAGGTCCAGTGAGGTGAGGTAGGGGATGGGAGGCACCCCTGAGAAGGTGAGGCTGACCTGGGGCCAGGGTCTGCTGATGGGTCCTGCTGCTCTGGGTCCACTGCAGTATGAGGTGAGGGAACCTTGCCATTTATTGGCTTTTCCTGCAAAGTTTGATGAGGTTTCCTTAGGCTCTAGGAGGTTTGAAGACCTCCGCTGTGGGTGGTGGGGGACCCTGGCAGGATGGTAACCCTGTATGGGATATGGCACTAGTGTGCCTGGCCACAGGATGGAAAGGAGTCAAAGCAGGTGGCAGGCGGCTGCTGGGGCTGAGGGAGTGGGAGGGGGCAGGAGGTTGGGGGGAGTGTGGAGGAACCTCCTGACCAGGAACTGGGGGGAGCTCTAGGGATGTGTTTGTGACACAACTGAATGCAGCATAGGATGGAGGGACCCGCTGGAGGCTTGGTGGGAGTTGAGCACCAAGGTGTCCATTTGTGCCCTGGAGTGGTGTCGCTGCAGACGAGCGGAGAATTGGCACTAGAAGGGCTTGTGCCAGGGGAAGAGGGGCTGTGCTCAGCGCTTGTCTCCAGATGTGGACTGAGATGAGACCTCCAAGTGACCGGGGTGGCATGGGTGGCTATTTGGCTGAAAGGGGGAGCTGCTGACCACATGTGCCAACACCCCTCCGGAGGCCTGAGCGCAGCGTGTGAGTAAGTCTGAACAAGTGGGCAGCCGTGTGTCTGTTGCGTGTGGGCCTATGGGTAGATGAGTGTGACTGAGCATGGATGGCGTGGGGGGCAGTGGTGCAATTAAGGTCTTTCAGCAGGGCTGGGGAGTTGGTCAACAGCCCTTGGAAGGAACTGACCAGAAGGGGTCCTGGGCTGGGGTGGGTGGGTCCTGACCCCCAAGGAGAAGAGGGATCCTCTGTACCTTGGAGTCCAAGCTTCCTCTTCCTGTCTCTCCAGAAAGGGCTGGCCGACTCAGAGAGGGACAGGCAGAGGTCATTGCAGGGCCTCGAAGGCCTGTGACCAGGTCCAGGCTAGTCCAGGAGGTCAGACCTGGTGGGGTGGCGGTAGCGCTTAAGGGGTCCCTCCCAAAGGACTGTGGGCGGTGGCGGGATGGGGGTGCGGGGGAATGAAGGGTTAGTCCTAGAGATGGCCACCTATCGGATTCCGGCTGCGGAGGGTGGGGCGTGACCGGTGTGGATGATGGGGACGGTGCACGACCGTCGCCTTACCCCCAGGCCGGCAGGAGCTAGGAACGGGGCGTCCTCAGGCGGCAGACGCGGAGAGGCCTGACTCCCAGGGTGGGCCCCCGCGCCCCGGCCCGGCTGTGACGTCACGGCCCGGCCGCTCGCTGGCGGCCTCCGGGGGGCGCTCCAGGCCCGCGGGACCCGGCCCGGAGGCCCGCGACTATTTACATAATGATGTTCGACCAGGAGCTCATTTGCATGTTCCGCTCTCAGTCCCCGAGGGGAGGCGGGCAGGACGCGGGCGGTTTGAGGTGTTGCGGGCAGTTCCCAGGTGCGGGTGGGCCTATCTCGCCACCCCCTCCTCCTCCTCTTCCGCCCTCGGTGCTGGACCCGGCGCGCTCACCACCTGTGTGCGCACCTGGCGCCCCTCCCCCACAGGCCACCGCCAGGGCGGGGCCGGCGCGGGCACCTACGGGGGCGCGCGCACGGGAGCGCGCGCACACCGCAGCCGCCCATGGAGTTCTGCACGCGGGCGCGAGCCCCCCTGCGGGGAGTCGGCGTGACCCTCCCGCCCCGCGCCGAGGCCTTGGCCGCTGACCCGCTCCCGCCGGCCCGGCTCCGCTGGGGGGGGGCGCCGCAGGGAACCCGCTCCGCCCCTGACCCCGCCCCGCCCCTTCTCCCTCCGCCCACCCCGCCCCTAGCCCCCCACCCCGCCCCGGCACCTGCCTTCTCCCCCCCACCTCCCTCCGCGCCCACCCTCCCCGCGACCCCTGCTCCTTCCCCGGCCCCGGCTCCCACCTCGCCCCCCACCCCCCACCCCTGCTGCTGCGCCCGCGTCCCCTTTTGTGCCGCCGCCCTGCCGTCCCCTTCCGCCCGGTCCCCTGCGCCGGGAGCCCCGACTCCCCGCGGACAGCGGGGTCCCCGGGGGCGGCTTCCTTTGTCTCGGCTCCCGCCCTCCTTCCGCGGCGCCCCTCGCCCCTCGCTCACCGCCTCAGCCCCGGCGAGGGCGACGCGAGCTGGCGCTGCTCGGCCGGAGGCGGGAGCCGAGGCGCGGCCCGCCGAGGCCCTTTATTCTCCGCTCGCCGACGCGCGCCTCCTGCTCGCTGCCTTCGCCGCTCCCGCCTCGGCCGGGGCTGGAGACCCTCGCGCCCGGCACCGCGCCGCCGGGGCCCCTCGGGCCGGCGCCTCCCGGGAAGCCGGCCGGGCGGGGACGCGGACTCCGGGAAGACCGAGCGCGGCCGGAGCCCTGCGGACAGCTGCCGGCTCCCGCGGCTACTGGCTCGTGGACGCCAGGGCTGGCCGCTGGCCGGTCCAAGCTTCTCCTCTTCCTCCTGAGAACTCTGCCCACCGCCCGTGATGAGCCTCGAGGGCCACGGCGGGGTCCTTCGGCTCTCCGGGCAGGGACCTCACTGAACTTTGAGCGCACAGCTGCTGTCAGCTGCCCCGGGGGTCCCAGCATGGGGGGAGTTGCCCCGAAGAGGCCCAAGGGCGCCCCTTGAGGAGCCCGCACACCCTGAGCGTGGGGGCTGAGAACCCAGGGCCATGCCTCCGCGGCCTCTGGAGCGGGCCCCGCGGCAGCAGCGCGGGGTCTCCCTGCTGGTGCGCTATTTCATGATCCCCTGCAACGTCTGCCTGATCCTGCTGGCCGCTTCCACGCTGGGCCTCGCTGTCCTGCTCTTCCTCAACAACTGTACGTGGCTGCGGGCATGGCCACCCTGGGCCAGGCTCGTGTGAGCCTCCTGCTGGCTGAGGTCGCTGGCCTCAGCCACCGGGCTGACTGGGGGACGGGCAGGGTCACACAGAGGCTACCGACTGAGATGGCTCTCACAGGGGCCACCTGCATCTTCTAAGAACAGGATGGGCCGTTCTTGGGACCCCTTGGCCCCGTGAAGCTTATCTGTGGGCTTGTGGGGGCCTGAGCTGCAGAGACAACCTGCTCTGGGGGGCAGGAGCCGCAGACCGCACTGCAGTGGGAGCTTTGGCAGGGCCTGGGGCTGGGCTCAGCTAGGGAGGGCGTGGCTGCCCACACCCCTGTTGTTCAGGGCCTACAGGTGTCGGGCCACGACCCTACCCCTGGAAGGGCAGAGAAGAGCAAAGACCTCTGCTTTGACCCCCCACAGGCTTTGGCCAGTCCTCGGGGCTCAGAATGGGGCCAGGGAAGGGATGGGGTGGGCGCTAGTACAGAGGGGAGGTCTGGGAGGGCAGAGGTGGCCCCTCCAGACTGGGCAAAGGGACAGGCTATGGAAAGGCCTGCTCAGAGAGAACTAACTCAGATATTTGGGTTTTTTTCCAGACAAACCTGGGACCCACTTCACACCAGCGCCCCCAATGCCTCTGGATGGTGAGTTGAGTGGGGGACTCAGTTGGTGACAGGCTGTACTTGGGAGACTGTGCCTGGGGTGGGGCAGTGGCACTCTTTGGGGTCAGGGACCATTGTTGGGGTGGGCACACCAGACATATTAGGTGTATTTGGAACAGAGAGGAGGCTGGATGATGGACCCTGGGTCCTTCCTGGGATGTCCACAGTGGTGGGCAAGCGGAGGGCGTGTGGGGTCCCTGGGCCTGGGCCTGGCCCTGTGTCAGCCATGGATCATCACACACAAGCATGGCTCCAACTTCTTTGGGCCTTGGCCTTCTTGGCCAAGAAACTGGGACTAAATCCAGGGGTCTGCAAGTTGTAAGATGGGTCAGACAATATGTGTGAGGAGTGGGGGGTCATGAAGGACCAACGACCGAGGAGGGTCTGGAGAGCCACCTCTGCCCTCCCAGACCTCCCCTCTGTACTAGCGCCCACCCCTTCCCTTCCCTGGCCCCATTCTGAGCCCCAAGGACTGAACAGCCTGGGGTTAGCTTTCTTGACCCTCCCTGAGGGGCCTGCTAGTCTGTGGGCCACTGTAATTAAGCTAACGTGAGGCGGGAGGGGGTGAAGCCGTTAGGGCCACAGGAAAGGGCAGCTTGGGGTTCTCTTTTGGGTGGGGACAGTGAGAGCTTCCAAGTTTGTGCTCAGTACCTGGCCCCCTGCTGGGTGGGTACCTGCCCAAGTTCACTGAAGTCACTTAGAGAAGGCAGTCCGTATATGGGATAGGGGCTCTAGTGGGCTGGGAGCTGGTGACCAGACTGAGTCTCCCACAGGCTGCGGGTGAGAGGCATGGGGCTGTCTGGATTTAAACACTGTCCTCAGGCTCCTCTCCGGAAGCCTAAAAGCCTGGTGCATCTCCTTTGCTTGACACACACCCCGGTCTTCCCTACAGAGGCTTGCGCGGGCCCCCATACCCACCTCCTGATCCTGCAGCACACTTGGGGACAGCTCCACGCCATGGCCGTCATCGTCCCTCGTAGGCATACACACTGTGTACTTGTGGCCATGGGCAGGACTCAGGACACCCATTCCATCCCCCAGCTCACCCGAGACCAGGAGGGGAGGTAAACATACCCACTCCACCCGTGGAGTTTAAAAAGCCACTGCCGCCTCCAGCCTGGCGCAGGGCACGGGCCCCGGGCGTGCAGGGAGCAAGACTGCACAGGGGAGCCTAGTGGCCAGAGAGCCTCCGTGGGAGTTGGAGCTGGGCAGGTGTGGCAGAGCACCGGTCTCACGGGCACATGGGTGCTCTCCATGCATTTGTGAGGGGCAGCTTGCATGAGGAAGGGCTTGGACAGGTGTGGGGCTGGTGTTTCTGGTCTCCTGCTCCCAGTCCCTCCCCTTGCAGTCCGCCTTCCATACACCCGACCCAGTGCTCTAGGCTCACTTATCATAGGTTAGCTGTTGTCGTCATCATCACCATCCTCCCCATCCTCCCCTAGTTACTGTTTTGCAGGGGACAAAGCAGAACCCTGGGCTGCAAAGGGGTGGGTGCAGGTCTCGGTGGGCAAGGAACATGCTAGTCATCCAGGAGTAGACGTCTTTGTCCGAGGGGCTGGGGTCTGGGGAGGGGTCTGGCTGGACCAAGGTGAGAAGAGGGGAAGACAGGCCTGAACCCAAGGGCACAGACACTCTGCAGCCAGCTCAGGAACCTGAAGCTTAATGAGAGAAGGACTAAGTTTTTGGCCATGGGCTCAGAACTCTGGGGAGACCTTGGTCAGCAGGTCCCATTGAAGCCAGTCAGAGAAGTCAGCCGGACATCAGCAAGTGCCTGTGAGCTCGGCCTGGGGGTCCTGAGGGCCTTGGTGAGGAGGAGGGGGAGGAGAAAGTGCTAAGGGGAGAGTGGAGGGAGACCGCGGGAAGAGGCCTCACAGAGCGCAGCCTTTGAGCTGGGTTTGAGCCAGGAGGGGAGGCCAGTGAAGTGATGGTTCTCATTCCTGCCGTTACTGGGGCAGCTGGCGTCGCGTGCTGGGCACCCTGCAGGTCCCGGCACAGTGAGCCTCACGATAACCCTGGAAAGTAGGTCCCACTGTCCCCATTCACAGCAAGAGGTGCGCAGGCGTGATAACTTGTCCACAGTCGAGGGGCCGGTGACTCAGTGGCGGTAGTCGGGCTCTGAGGTCTGCAGGGTGGGGCACACAGGTGCGACTGAGGGGTCGCCGTGGCAACCGCTAGCTCCAGCTCCTTTTGGGGCCCTGGCCTCCCCAGAAGAGAGGTGCTTTCTCCCTCCTGCCCTACTTGCTGAGCCTGCTGGGGGTTGACGGTGGGGGCACCGCACCCTCTCCACCATAAATTAGTAATGATCGTTAGGCCCAATGAAACATTGTAGACGTAGACAGAGGCACCTGTAACAGGCCCGCACACCTGGGGTCGCCATGCTGGTAGGGGTTCTGAGGACTGGAGTTAGCCTGCCTCTCTTCAGGAGGGGCTGTCCCTGACAGCTCGGGTTTCAATGGCCCAGAGCCTTCTGCATTCCTCCAGACCTCACTACTACTGAGGTCCCTCACCGGTGGCGGTCGGGGGCAGCCACTTCCTTGGGATGTGCTGGCAGTTTGTAACCAGAGAGTCAGAAACTAAAATGTTGAAAGAGAAAAAGGACAGGTCAGCAGAGGCCCTGTGCTCAGCCTCCTGGAGGAGGTCGCTGGGGAGTGTGAGGTGGGGCAGCAGGCCTGGGGGGAGGGGTGGGGGTGAGGACATTTACTGAGGTGGGGATGGTAGGTGGGGAGGTGTAGGCGCGTGAGTGCCTGAGGGGCCTCAGAGAGAAAGGCCCCACCAGCTTTCATCTGGGAAGACCTGGGAGGGCTGGAGGACCAGGAACCTTCCAGAAGGCCACATCAAGAAAGCCACAGCTGAGGGACCTGGGGGAGACGCAGAAGTGAGGGGGCCGGGCAGAGAAAGGCCCAAGAGGCCTGGCCCACACAGAAGAGTTGTGGAAAGAAAAGAGGGACACGGAGGGAGGCCTGAGGTTAGGGTGCTGAGGAGGGGCACAGAGCCAGAGGTGGAGCGTGTGGCCTGACTCCGAGACTTCCCACCTGTCTGCTCTACAGCCATCTGACCTCAGAGCAGAGGTGGTGGGGCTGGGGCTGGTGTTGGGGCTGGAGCGGCTCCTGGGAGGGGGCCAGGGCTGTGAGGGTATAGGTCAGGAGTCAGCCGAGGGCCTTTGATTCTGGTGTGAGGAAAGGGTGGGCTCCTGAGCAAGGTGGGGCCGATTCCCTGCCATGGAGCTGGTCTGGGGGTTTGTTTCTCACTCTACCGCATGTGGGGCTCCCGGTGATGGGGTCATAACTCCCTGGTGCTGCTGGAAGGTCTGGGAGGTGCCCCCCTCCACAGCTGAGAAGCTTCTACCCCAGGGAAAAGCTCTGGGGCGGGTGGGGTTTGAGGCGGGAAGGGCCAGGCCCCGTCAGGGTACGTGGGCGTGTGTGGATGTGGGGGTGTGTGTTCTGGTCAGGACCCAGCCGAGAATGTGTGGACACGCATTGCATGGGCAGAGGTGTCTGTGGGGGTTCTGAACAAACACTGAGTGCATCTTGAGGTCTCCACAGGCATGTGGACACTGCAGGTGCGCATAGGTGCCTGGGGCCAGGGCAGAAGGGGTGCTCGGGTGCCCTGGGCCAGGGCAGAAGGGGTGCACAGGGCAGCAGATCTGCAGGGCAGGGCTCTGACCTTCCCTTCTCCTGCCCTACCCCCAGCGTGCCGAGGAATGTTGTGCGGCTTTGGTGCCGTGTGCGAGCCCAGTGCAGAGGGCTCAGGCCGAGCGTCCTGCGTGTGCAAGAAGAGCGCCTGTCCCGCCGTGGTGGCGCCTGTGTGCGGCTCCGATGCCTCCACCTATAGCAACGAGTGTGAGCTGCAGCGGGCCCAGTGCAGTCAGCAGCGCCGCATCCGCCTGCTCAGCCGCGGGCCCTGTGGTGAGTGTGCGTCCCAGGCGGGCTCCCTGGAGGCGGCACGGACGTCTTTGGGACACCCACCCCTCCCGCTTAGCCACAGGCCCTGCGGTGAGCGCCCGTCTGGGTTGGGCTCCCTGGAGGCCAGGGCGATGGCCTCCTGACCCCACCCCGCACCTCCCCGCACCCTCCCCACCCCCGCAGGGTCCCGGGACCCCTGCTCCAACGTGACCTGCAGCTTCGGTAGCACCTGTGTGCGCGCAGCAGATGGGCGGACAGCCTCGTGCCTGTGCCCCGCCGCCTGCCAGGGGCCCCCCGACGGCCCAGTGTGCGGCAGCGATGGTGCCGACTACCCCAGCGAGTGCCGGCTCCTGCGCCACGCGTGCGCCCGCCAGGAGAACATCTTTAAGAAGTTTGACGGTCCTTGCGGTGAGCCCCGCCCCTGCGCGCGTGGCGTGACCCTGCGTGCGCGTGCGCGCCCATACTCTGACCTGTGCCTTCCCGCCTTCTAGACCCCTGCCAGGGCGCCCGCAGTGACCTGAGCCGCGTCTGCCGCGTTAACCCACGCACGCGGCGCCCGGAGATGCTCCTGCGGCCGGAGAGCTGTCCTCCCCGGCGAGCACCCGTGTGCGGGGATGACGGAGTCACCTATGACAATGATTGCGTCATGGGCCGCACGGGAGCTGCCCGTGGTCTCCTCCTCCAGAAAGTGCGCTCTGGCCAGTGCCAGCCTCAAGGTGAGGAGTCCTGGGAGAGGGCCCAGCCTTGCCCTTCTGTGTGCCCTCTGGCCCTGCCTGTCCTCACCCTCTGCTGCACCCCTCCCCGGTGCCCGCTCACCACCCCCTACGCCCATGGGTCCCTTGCACGTCCCAGGGTGGGGGCTGACATGGCCCCCGGCTGTCTGATCTCCTCGCTTCACCCTCCCAGACCGGTGCCCAGATGTGTGCAGGTTTGGTGCTGTGTGCTTGTCCCGCCGAGGCCACCCCCGCTGCTCCTGCGACCGTGTCGTCTGTGACGGGGCTTACAGACCTGTGTGTGCGCGCGACGGGCACACGTATGACAGCGACTGCTGGCGCCAGCAAGCTGAGTGTCGGCAGCAACGCGCCATCCCTGCCAAGCACCAGGGCCCGTGTGGTGAGCAGCAGGGGTGGGGCCCACACTGAGAGCCGGCGGGTCCCGTGTTGGTCCCTGTGGCCTGTCATCACGTACCATCTCCATCCTGAGTCATGCTCCTCCTGGGGTCCTGGGGGAGGCCCGGCGGGGCTGGTGTCTGTCAGTAGGCTCTGGGTCAGGGGGTTCTGTCGGGGGGATGCCTGGAGCCCCCGGGGTTGGGGGGGTTAGTGGGCAGAGGCAGGCCTCTTTGGTCAGGCTCTCCTGTGCCCACGTGAGGCCGTCGTGCCCCATCCCCCTCCGTGCCCCATCCCCCTCCAGGCCCCCGGGCCCCACACTGTGGGGACACCAATGCTCCCGCAGAGGCAGAGTCTCTGGCTCGGTGCGGGGGTGGGGGTGAGCAGCAGGCGGTGGAGACGGAGACGGCGTTATCCTGCGTCGGCGGAGGGCTGCTGTGGCTCTGCCAACCCCCCACTGTGTCCGTCGGTCGGTCTGTCTGTCTGTCCACTCTCTCTCTCTGCCTCTGTATTTTCTTCTCTGTCCTCCCTTCCCTCTCTGCTCCGCCTCTTGTGTCTTCCAGCCTGACCTGCTGGCAGGATGACGTACCGTGCCTGCCGCCAGGAGCCCACGGCCCGAGGTCTGCCCCCGGCTCAGCAGGGGGGGGGTGGCTTGCTGCTGCCTGGCCTTGTGGTTCTCAGAGCAAGTGGACAGACACCTCCTCCCCTTTGTGGCCCTGAGTGTGACTGTGGGCTGCAGACTCCTCCCCCGACGGAGGGGAGAGCCCCCCTGCACAGACGAGTGTCCCCAGGCTGCTGGTGGCTAGCAGTCATAAGCCTGGCCCTCCCCCCACCCACTGTGGGCAGTCAGGGAGCTCCTGTGTCTTGGGGGCAGCCCCTCCCCATACTCAGGCGGGGGGCTGAGGCTGTTTGGGTCTGCGTCCCTGTCTGCATCTCTCGTGTGTCTGTCCCTTTCTCTGCTGTGTCCTGAGCGCCCGGCTCTTCTCCCAGTGCACTCTCCCTCCACTGTCCCCACCCTGGGAGCAGGTCTGCTGCGTGGAGCTGGGGGCTTTGTGCGGAAGCCCGGGGGAGCAGGAAGACCTCACCGACTGCCCGTGCTCTCCCCAGATCAACCCCTGTCCCCATGCCTTGGGGTGCACTGCCCATTTGGGGCGTCATGTGCTGTGAAGAACGGTGAAGCGGAGTGTGTGTGCCAGCAGGCATGTCCGGGCATCTACGATCCCGTGTGTGGCACTGATGGTGTCACGTATGGCAGCACGTGTGAGCTGGAAGCCACAGCCTGCGCCCTTGGACGGGAGATCCGTGTGGCTCGCCGAGGACCCTGTGGTCAGTGGTGGGCAGGTGAGGCTGGCTGGGAGTGGGGGGCGGGGAGTCCCGGTTGCCGTGGTGATGGGGCCTCTTCCTCAGACCGCTGTGGGCAGTGCCGCTTCGGAGCTCTGTGCGAGGCTGAGACCGGGCGCTGCGTGTGCCCCTCCGAGTGCGTGGCCTTGGCTCAGCCCGTGTGCGGTTCCGACGGGCACACGTACGCGAGCGAGTGTGAGCTGCACGTCCACGCCTGCACACACCAGATGAGCCTGCACGTGGTCTCAGCGGGACACTGCCGTGAGTGGGGCTGTGGGGGTGGGCAGGCTGGGGTCCTGGGTACCCCTCCGCCGGGATGACCCCTGCCCGGTCCCACCCCTGCAGAGACGTGCGGAGACGCAGTGTGTGCTTTCGGGGCAGTGTGCTTGGCGGGGCGATGTGTGTGCCCCCGGTGTGAGCAGCCCCCACCCGGTCCCGTGTGTGGCAGCGACGGTGTCACCTACGACAGCGCGTGTCATCTCCGAGAGGCAGCCTGCCAGCAGCAGACCCAGATTGAGGAGGCCCGGGCGGGGCCCTGTGAGCAGGGTAGGCTCGGGGGAGGACTGGCCTGGGCTGCCCCGCGTCGGCCTCGAACAGACCGCGCGGGTGACCCGGCCCCTCCCCGCAGCGGAGTGCGGCTCTGGAGGCTCTGGCTCTGGAGAGGACGGCGAGTGTGAGCAGGAGCTTTGCCGGCAGCACGGCGGTGTCTGGGACGAGGACTCGGAAGACGGGCCCTGCGTCTGCGACTTCAGCTGCCACAGCGTCCTGAGGAGCCCGGTGAGGCCCCCCACCCCCCACCCCGGCTCTGGGCCGGCAGCAAGCAGCTGGTTGTGGCCACCCACGCTGACACCATCCCTCCAGGTCTGCGGCTCAGACGGGGTCACTTACGGCACTGAGTGTGAGCTGAAGAAGGCCAGGTGCGAGTCGCAGCGAGAACTGTATGTCACGGCTCAGGGCGCCTGCCGCGGTGAGTGGACCTGCAGGGCCGGGCGGGCGTGTGTCGTCTGTGCCGTTGCCTTTGTGTTCCTGCGCATGTGTCCACAGCTGTGTGTGCACACAGGTGTGCCGTGTGTGTCCGCGTGGGTACTGCGTGGGGGGGCACGGAGGCACAGAGGGTTCAGGGGTGCAACGTTGGTGAGCATTCGTGTTTGTGCACGTGTGGGTGTCAGTGCCTCGTAGTCCGCGGTCCTGCACTGAGTACCCACCGTCTGCGCCCCGGACGGGGCTCCGCGAGGGGAGGCCTCACCCGCCACAGCGGGAGACGGGCGGTGACCCGATAAATACGTTTACTATGTTTCCACGTGTGCACGAGTGCCTGTGTGTGCTTGTAGACTCATGTACGCACAGGTGTGTGTCTGTGCATGTGTGCTTGATGTGTGCGGTTTGGGAGGAACGTGGCCGCGTGCGTGTGCGTGTGCGTTGTGAAAAGATACGAGCCTAAGCAGCTCGGTTCTGGCTGTGTGTCTGTGCGCGGCGGCACGTTCCTGACCTCCGGGTGTCCTGCGCGTTTTCGGTGCTGTGTGTACAGGTGGGTTTGTGTAAGTGGCTTCCTCACCTGTGACGCGAGCTCCGGGCACCCGGGTCCCGGTGGCAGGTGGCTTCAGGAGGGCTGAGTGGTGACGGCCGGGGAGGCTGAGGTGCTGTGGCCAGGCCCACAGTGCACACGTGGCCACGTCTGTCGTCTGAACCCTCTGCCTCTCCCTGCAGGCCCCACCTTGGCCCCGCTGCCCCCCGCGGCCCCCCTGCACTGCACCCAGACTCCCTATGGCTGCTGCCGGGACAACACCACGGTGGCCCGGGGTGTGGGCCTGGCTGGCTGCCCCAGTGAGTACTCCCGCCCGGCCCCACCCCAGAGCTGCACAGGGCCACAGAGCCACGGTGACCACAGCCTGCCCTGGCCTTGCAGGTTCCTGCCGCTGCAACCCACATGGCTCCTACGGTGGCACCTGTGACCCAGCCACGGGTCAGTGCTCCTGCCGCCCGGGTGTTGGGGGCCTCAAGTGTGACCGCTGTGAGCCTGGCTTCTGGAACTTCCGTGGCATCGTCACTGATAGCCGGAGCGGCTGCACCCGTGAGTGACCAGGGCAGCAGTCAGTCCCCAGCCAAGCGCTCCCACCTGTCCATCTTGTCACTGTGCTCCTTGTCTCACCTGCTCAGATCCTGGCCTGACCCACACCAGGCAGGCACTGGGCCAGGCTCTGCAGCCAGTGAGGAGAGCAGGCGCAGACCTCAGGTTCTTCCCCCCTGCCCTCCAGCCTGCAGCTGTGACCCCCGGGGTGCCGTGCGGGATGACTGTGAGCAGATGACCGGGCTGTGCTCATGTAAGCCTGGGGTGGCCGGACCCAAGTGCGGGCAGTGTCCAGATGGCCACGCCCTGGGCCCCGGTGGCTGTGAATCAGGTGAGAGCCAAGCCTGGCACTGCCCTTGTCTCCCTGTGCCAGGGGTGGGGCCATCATAGGGGCAAGGCCTCCTGAGCCGGCAGGGTCTCCTGTGTCTGCCTCAGACTCCTTGGCACCCGAGACGTGTGCTGAGATGCGCTGTGAGTTTGGGGCGTCCTGTGTGCAGGAAGCTGGCTCCGCCCGCTGCGTGTGCCCAACATCCACCTGTCCAGAGGCCAGTGCTACCAAGGTGAGGGCTGGGGCACGTAGAGGCATGGGGGGTGGGGAGGGGCCTTCCATTGCAGCATCCTTGCCCTGTGCCCCAGGTCTGCGGGTCAGATGGAGTGACCTACGGCAACGAATGTCAGCTGAGGACCATTGCCTGCCGTCAGGGCGTGGACATCTCCATCCAGAGCCTTGGCCCGTGTCAGGGTAAGGCCTCGCTCTCCGCCTCGAACGGACTGAGAAGGCCTGGCTTGGGGCTGACTGCCTGCCCTGGGCGTCCACTCAGACTCTGTTCCTCCCGCAGAGTCTGTAGCTCTTGGTGGCCGCCCAACGCCTGTACCCGTGGCTGCGTCGGGGCCCAACCTGAGCACGGCACTGCCTTTCCCCCCGAGCGCCCCACCCCTGGCGCCCACCAGGACCCCTCACAGCCAGCCCACTCCTCAGCCCTCGCCAGGACCTCGGACCACGGCCAGCACGCCCAGGACTACCACGAGGCCCATGCCGACCGTGCCCCCCACAGCCCCTGCCCCAGCAGCCAAGCTTGCCACGTCTGCCTTTGGCGAATCTGGCAGTGCTGACGGGAGCGGCGATGAGGGACTGAGTGGTGACCTGGAGGCCAGTGGGGCTGGCTCAGGGGGTGAGCGCGGGCTCAAGGACGCAGGGGAACGGGGCCCGGAAGGGCTACCTCCAGGGCCAGGCTTAGACTATACCTCTCCAGGACTCGAGCCCTCCGAAGGTGGCAGCGCTGTGACCCCTGGGCCACCCATGGAGAGGGCTTCTTGCTACAACTCCCCTTTGGGCTGCTGCTCGGATGGCAAGACACCCTCACTGGACGCAGAGGGTTCCAACTGTCCCGGTGAGTGGGTAGCCGGGGTCTGGGGTGGAGCGTGACCTGTGGCCTGGACACGGCCAGGAATGCTGTCTCCCCTCCCAGGCAGGAGGCCTGCCCCACAGGTGGGCACTCAGGGTATACGGTCTTCTGATTTGGGCACACACGTGTGCGTGGTCTTGGGGACGCAGCACAGGCATGTACACGTGTAATCTCGGCCCACACACACACGTGGGTGCCCAGGACCCTGCAGCTAACGTGTCTTTCCTGTTGCAAGCCGGCCTGGAGCACTGCTCCAAGAAGTCCGCCCGGTAACTGGTGCCAGCCCTGCCCCCAAGACCCCACTAACCTCATGACCATCTGACTAACCTGCCCGCACCCCATGTGGCTTGCTGCTGGGGCCTGTGCCCGTGGCCCACCCAGCAGCCAGGCCGGTGCCCAGCAGGGCCTCACTGCCACCTCCCCCACAGCCACCAGGGCCTTCCAGGGTGTACTGGAACTCGAGGGGGTTGAGGGGCAGGAGCTGTTCTACACACCGGAGATGGCTGACCCCAAGTCGGAGCTCTTCGGGGAGACTGCTAGGAGCATCGAGAGCGCAGTACGTGCAGGGGCAAGGCCCTCCCCGCCTCTAGCTTCCCTCCCAGGACACACCCAGAGAGGTGCTGGAATGGGCGGCCGGACAGTCCGGCCTGGGCAGCTCCCCAGAGCCCTCCCCCACTGCCCACCCACAGCTGGACGACCTCTTCCGGAACTCCGACGTGAAGAAGGACTTCCGAAGTGTCCACCTGCGGGACCTGGGGCCCGGCAGCTCCGTCCGCGCCGTCGTGGACGTGTACTTTGACCCTGGTAAGGCCCCGCCCCGGGCCCTCCCAGGAGGCAGGCGGGTGTGTGTAGGGCTCTCCCATGTTCCTTGTCCCCTCCTTCTCAGCCACGACCTTTAGGGCGTCCGACGTGGCCCAGGCCCTGCTCCGGCAGATACAGGCATCCCGGCGCCGGTCTCTGGGGGTGAGGCGGCCGCTGCAGGAGCACGTGCGCTTCCTAGACTTCGGTGAGGGGTGCCGCCCACCCAGCCCCTCCCCCACTTCCCTGGGACCCTCACCCTTGCCGGCCCTCCCAGGGCTCTGCTCTCCGGGGGTCCTGACGGTCCCTCTGCCCTCAGACTGGTTTCCCGCATTCTTCTTGGGAGCCACCACAGGAGCCACAGTGGCCACAGCCACGGCCAGAGCCACCACCATGGTCCACCTGCCTTCTGCTGTGACCCAGCGGGCCCTGTCCCCCAGTCACACCAGCCAGTCTGCTGACAGGACCACAGCCCTGCCCACCACACGCCAGCCGCCCACCACGGCCCCCCGTCGCGTGCCTGGACGCCGGCCCTTGCCCTCAGGCACCCCGCAGCCACTGAAGCCCTGTGACTCCCAGCCCTGCCTCCACGGGGGAACCTGCCAGGACCAGGACCCTGGTGGCGGCTTCACCTGCAGCTGCCCCGTGGGCAGGAAGGGCACCGTCTGTGAGCAGGGTAAAGGTCATCCATGCTGGAGAGAGGCGGGAGGCAGATGGAGGGTTGGCCAGGGTTGGGGCCGGGCCAAGCCACAGTTGGGGGTTGGGGGCCAGGCCGAGGGGGCCCGGGGGGGTGACGGGGCTGGGACTTTCAGGCTGGAGGAGAGCACCGAGGGGGCGGGGGTCCTCCGCGCCCCTCCAGTGGGTCCCTCCTTGTCTGCTGGCAGCACTGCACCCCTCTGCGCCAGCCTTCGGGGGCCACTCCTTCCTGGCCTTCCCCACCCTCCGTGCCTACCACACGCTGCGCCTGGCACTGGAGTTCCGGGCACTAGAGCCCCAGGGTTTGCTGCTGTACAATGGCAATGCCCGGGGCAAGGACTTCCTGGCGCTGACGTTGCTGGGAGGCCGGGTGCAGCTCCGGTGAGTGGACGGGGCAGCCCAGGTGGCCGGGGAGGGAGGGGGGCTGCTGGTGGGGGTGGTCAGGAGGGGAGCTGAGGCGGGGAAGGGGGAGGGCAGGAGGCTGAGGTGGAGCCATGGTCCTGGCCTGAGGTCGCTGTCCTGAGTCCCTGCTCCCATCCCCCAGGTTTGACACTGGCTCGGGGCCCGCGGTCCTGACCAGCTCAGTGCCTGTGGAGCCCGGCCGCTGGCACCGCTTAGAGCTGTCCCGGCACTGGCGCCGGGGTACGCTCTCAGTGGATGGTGAGACCCCTGTTCTGGGCCATAGCCCCAGTGGTACTGATGGTCTCAACCTGGACACAGACCTCTTTGTGGGCGGCGTCCCGGCAGACCAGGCTTCCGTGTGAGCATCAGGGAGCGGGGGACACCTCTGACCCCAGACCCCTGAGCTTGGTCCTGACCCCTGACTCTTGTGGTCAGCATCTAAGAGGCCCAAGCAACTTGCAAATAGCACAGTGGGTGGGAGGACGAGTGTGGATGATGGCAATGACCCTGATTTGATCCTGATCCCGATTCTGTCCCCTGGTGGCATCCCTGAGCCCCAGGCTGTTGTGTTACCATCAAGGAGGGGCTGGGCTGCTCCGACCTTTAGTCCTGAGCTGTGACCCTCAACCCACTTCTTTATTCAGTCCCATTTGTGGGACTGGGCATCCTGAGAGCCCCAGAAGCATGGACGGGGATAGGGAGCAGCCCTCATCCCGGCTGGCAGGGGTGCCAGCGGTGCAGCTGGCTGGGAGAGAGGGTGTCTTTGGTCTCTGCCCTCTGACGTCTACCCTCCTCCTGACGGCAGGGTGCTCGAAAGGACCTCCATCCGTGTCGGCCTCAGGGGCTGCATCCGCCTCCTGGATGTGAACAACCAGCGGCTGGAGCTCAGCAGCTGGCAGGGGGCCGTGACCCGGAGCTCTGGTGTGGGCGAGTGTGGGGACCATCCATGCCTGCCCAACCCCTGCCTCGGTGGGGCCCCATGCCGAGCCCTGGAGGCCGGCATGTTCCACTGTCTGTGCCCCCCCGGCCGCTTTGGTGAGGCTGGAGCCTGGGCTGGGCGCAGGGTTGGGGGGCACGCCCACATATCTGTTGGTGTGGGACCCCATCGTGTCTCCTTGTAGGTCCAACCTGTAGTGATGACAAGAACCCCTGTGAGCCAAACCCCTGCCATGGGGCAGCCCCCTGCCGTGTGCTGCCTGACGGGGAGGCCCAGTGCGAATGCCCCCAGGGGCGAGGGGGCACCACCTGCCAGACAGGTGGGGGGCATTGGGCCATCGGTGCAGGGAGGGGGGTGGGAATGAGGATGGCAGGATTCAGCATTAGGGTGTGGGTTCTGGGTGGGGTTAGGATCGGGGTTCTGGCTAGTGTTAGGGCTTGAGTTAGGCCTGGGGCTCACAGACCAGTGGAGGTCCAGGGAACCCCAGGGGTCAAGGCCCGGCCCCTGTGTGACTGCTCTCTCGTCCTCCACAGTTTCTGAGCGGGATTATTCTCAGCCCTTCCTGGCTGACTTCAACGGCTTCTCCTACCTGGAGCTGAAAGGCTTGCATACCTTCGAGCGGGACCTGGGGTCAGTAGGACAGAAGGGGTGTATGAGGGGAAGAGCTCCCCCAGCCCCTGTCTGGCCTACAGGGTGAAGGGCCATTGAGATGCCCTCACCTGTCACTACCTGACCCCAGGGAGAAGATGGCTCTGGAGGTGGTGTTCCTGGCGCGTGGCCCCAGCGGTTTGCTCTTCTACAACGGGCAGAAGACAGACGGCAAGGGGGACTTTGTGTCCCTGGCGTTGCAGGACCGCTTCCTGGAGTTCCGCTATGACCTGGGCAAGGGGGCTGCAGTCATCAGGTGCGCTCTCGCATGTGGGCCTGGGACTGAGGCCGGGGACACTTGGCAGTGTCGCAGGCCCCGGGGTGGACGGGCTGGCAGGGCCCAGAGCCTGCTCATGGTACACCCCCATCACCAGGAGCAAGGAGCCAGTGGCTCTGGACACCTGGACCAGGGTCTCACTGGAGCGCAATGGCCGCAAGGGGGCCATGCGTGTCAGCGATGGGCCCCGTGTGCTGGGGGAGTCCCCGGTGAGTATCCCCAAGGCCGTGGGCCTCCCACCAGCTCCCCCACCACCTCCCTGCTCCCTCCCCTCCTGGGAGGCACAGCAGTCCCTGCCCCACAGCTGGCTCTCACAGAACTGTTTTCTCCCCCGTCTGTCCTGTGCCTCTGTCTGTCTGCTCTCTGCCCCCACTGCTCTCTGGCTCTTGCTCTGCAACCCCCACCCTGCTCTTCGGACGCCAGAAATCCCGCAAGGTACTGGTCTCTGCTCTCACCCTGCTCGTTCGTCTTCTAGAGTAGCTCCTGCCCCACTGAGTCTGCACACGGGCCATGTCTGTGTGATTAACTCTGTGTCCTGGATACGCTGGCGGGTGACGGGGTGGGCCACTGCAGGCGGCGGGGGTGGGGGGAGTGCTGATCTGGGCCCCAGTGTCCTTGTCTCTGCCCCATGAGCAGGCCCCGCAGCCCCCTCACGCCCCTCACGCAGAACCTTCCCCCAGGTACCGCACACTGTCCTCAATCTGAAGGAGCCGCTCTATGTTGGGGGCGCCCCTGACTTCAGCAAGCTGGCCCGCGCAGCCGCCGTGTCCTCCGGCTTCGATGGCGTCATCCAGCTGGTACATGGGGCAGGGGAGGGGCCCATCCCAGCGGGGGCTCTCTGCAGTGGTAGGGGTGGTCGAGTCTTGAGGAAGGGCCCAGCCCAGAGGGGTCTCTGTCCTGGGGTGGGGGCTGCTGTCGAAGGGAGGAGAGCAGGCCAGACAAAGGTGTTCTACCTCTTATCCCCCAGGTCTCCTTGAAAGGCCACCAGCTGCTGAACCAGGAGCACGTGGTGCGGTCCATGGATGTCTCATCTTTTGCCCACCACCCTTGTACCCAGGCCTCAGGCCACCCGTGCCTGCACGGGGCCTCCTGCCTCCCTCGGGAGGCCTCCTATGAGTGCCTGTGCCCTGGGGGCTTCTCGGGGCCTCACTGCGAGCAGGGTGAGATGGGTGGGCACTGCCTCGCCCCTCTCCGAGGCTGGGTGGGGGGCCCCGCCCGAGGCAGCCCTCACCCCGACTGTCTCTCAGGGCTGACTGAGAAGTCGGCAGGGGATGTGGACGCGCTGGCCTTCGACGGACAGACCTACGTTGAGTACCTCAATGCCGTGACTGAGAGGTAACGTGCCACCTGGGCGCTGGGTGCCCCTGCCCTCTGCCATCTGTCTGGTACTGTCTGAGCCTGCTGTGTGGGGTGAGACGCGGGCCCTGCCACAGCCACCGACCGCTCTGCTGCCAGGAGGGGAAGGCCTGGCATCAGCCCCCGCAGCCCCGCCGCCCTCTGCCCTCCTCCGCCCACCTCCACCTTCCTTCCTTCTCACCGCCTCTGTCTCTTTGTTTCCAAGCGAACTGACCAATGAGATCCCCGTGTAAGTAGCACCTGGGCCCCCACCACACCATCCTGCTCACCTGTTCTTAGCGCCTCACCCACAGTAGCCGACCCCCACCCCCACGGAGGGCCAGGCTTCCCATCCCGGGGCAGGAGACTGGGCTTAGGAAGAGGGGTGGGTCACCCCTGCACATGCTGCAGCTCCCGCCCCCGCCGTGAGGCACCACCATGGCGTGCACGCATGCGCGCGTGTGTGTGTGTGCACGTGCGTGCATCAGAGCCCACACGGGTCTGGGTGTGTGCATGCAGGTGTGTCTGTGTGCGTGTGTGTCTGTACATGCACATGCGTGTTCAGACATCCGGGGGCCTCTCCCAGGCAGGGGAACCCTGAGCCCCGCCTCTTGACCTCTGCCCTTGACCTGGGTCGTGCCCACCAGCCCTGTGTGTCCACATGACATCGCCCTGGCTCTGCGTGGCCTGTGTATCTTCTGTGGGTGCTTGTTCACACTCTCCGTTGCCGAAAAGGGGATGGGGGGTGGGGCAGGGCTGCCTGGAACCACCCGCCCCCCGCCCCGACCCTATACCACAGCCTGTCTGTCCCCTGCTCACCTGCTTCCCCTCTCTTCCGGCTTCTAAGTCCTGATGCTCCGGATTCCGGGGCCCTTCCCAGGTGAGCAGTGGCACCCAACCCCCGCTCTCTGTCTGCCTCCTTCCTCTGTGTGTATGTCTGCCTGTCCGGTCCACCTCCTGCTGTCCATCTCTCGACCTGTCTGTCCCATGCGGGTATGCGCCCGCCTGCCCGTCCAGGCTCTCCGGGCTTCCTTGCAGCTGCCATCATGGCCCTTGCCCTCCCATCCCCTGCGCCCCATCCCCAGCCGCCCTCGGAGGCCCTGACAGTCTCTCCCCTGCAGCGAGAAGGCCTTGCAGACCAGCCACTTCGAGCTGAGCTTGCGCACGGAGGCCACACAGGGGCTGGTGCTGTGGAGCGGCAAGGCCACAGAGCGGGCCGACTACATCGCACTGGCCATCGTGGACGGGCGCCTGCAGCTGGCCTACGACCTGGGCTCCCAGCCCGTGGTGCTGCGCTCTACCGTCCCAGTCAACACCGACCGCTGGTTGCGGGTCAGGGCGCACAGGTCAGCAGGAAGCCCGGGCCATGCCAAGAACGGCGGCGGGTGGCGCCTGGACTTGCCCAGCCCGGGCACTCCCGGTCACTCGTAGCCAGGGCCCAGGTTTGAGGTGGGGGCAGGGCTAAGTGCCCGACTTGAGGCCACTCCCAGGGCTGGGGGAGGGACAAGAGGACAAAGGAGAAGACTTGTGGCCAGCGACTCCCTGATCTGGAAGAGGAGTGCTTGGTCTGCCCAGATGCTGTCTGAGCCTGGTCACCCCTACAGCAAAGTGTAACCCATGTGAGGACCCTGCTGCCCTAGCCAGGCACTCTCCTGGGGATCAGTGCCCCCTCATCCTGGCCCCCAGGCGGGACTTCCAGGAGAGAGGGATGTGGGGCTGAGGATCTGGAGGTGGCAGGTGTGCCCTCTGGAACCAGCTGATGATGGCCTCACCCCACCACACCCCCAGGGAACAGAGGGAAGGTTCCCTTCAGGTGGGCAACGAGGCCCCTGTGACTGGCTCTTCCCCGCTGGGTGCCACGCAGCTAGACACAGATGGAGCCCTGTGGCTGGGTAAGTGTTCTGGGGGGAGGCCAGGGAAGGGGTACCCAAGGCTCTCAGAATCAGGGACGTACCTCATCCCGTGGGGCTGCAAACTGAGTGCTACCTGAGTCAGCCCGTCCGGGTCCGCAGACCAGCTGGCCAGGGTAGGGCCCTGTCCCCTCCTGTCTTAGGCCCTGCAGTTCCCTGGGCGACCGTGGGGCCAGGAGGCTGGAGCGTGTCTCCTGGTCACGGGGTCCCCCTCCCCCCAGGGTGGTGACAGTCCTTGGGTAACTCATGGTCTCTTGAGTACCCGTGGGTCTCTCTGCTGGCTGGTGCCCCAGACTGCCCATCCTGAAGTCACAACTGGGTGGCCTGCCTTCCGTCTTCCTGCAGGTGGCCTGGAGAAGCTGCCCACGGGCCAGGCCCTGCCCAAGGCCTACAGCACAGGCTTTGTGGGCTGCCTCCGGGATGTGGTGGTGGGTCGGCGCCCGCTGCAGCTGCTGGAGGATGCTGTCACCAAGCCGGGGCTTCGGCCCTGTGCCGCCCCATGAGACACACTGCAGCCCACCACGCACCCTGTTGTCATTATTTTCTATTTTTGTAAACTCATCGATTTTTTGATATGGTTTTTTTGCCTATGTGTTGGCCAGAGGGACTGCTGGGCCAGCTTCCCTACCGTCCAAGCAGAGAACTACAGATAAACTCTGTGTCACGGGACTTGCAGGGGGAGATGGCGCAGGCAGCATGGAGGCCTTGTGCCCCTCCACCTTGGACCACTGCATCTCACCCCTCTTGCTTTGCCTCCTCCATGTGTCCACCTGGGCTGGGCCTGTGTCCCCAGAGCAGGCAAGCAAGCTGGGGCTTGAGGGGGCCTTTCCTCCCCGCAAGCCCTAGGAGGCCTTCCTGGGTCCCCACTTGAGGTGTCCCTCCTGCATGTGCCGTAGGCCAGGGCAAACCTCGAGCCCAGCCCGGCTCCTCCCAGGCCTCCCGTGCCAATACTGTGACTTAGAACCAATGTTACATTACTGTTGGGGCTACTGTACCCCTCCCTTCAATCATGTCCACTAAGCCCAGAGTGCTGGAGAACAGAGGCCAGGCCCAGACCTGGTCAGGGCACCTGGGTGCTTAGCTAGCCCTGCCTGTGTCCCCAGCCAGCTTGGACCTAGCTGTGTCCCCTCCCTGACACTGCAGGTCTCATTAGGCGTTCTGAGAGGGAGCAGGGCTGCTATATGGTGTGGTCGATGTCCACTGCCTGTTGCTTGGGCAGCTGGCATCCCCCTCTCAAGGATGGATGTTGGGCCTGACCACCAACCTTTATGCATTGATTTTGGTTGATACCTGGGGTGACAGGGCCATCATCCTTCCTGTCCTGGCCCAAGGGCAGCTGAGCACTCTCCCTCTGGCTCTGGTACGAGGGGTGTCGTCCAAGACCAAGGCCAAGGGGTGGGTGTAGAGGCAGCAGAGAAAACTGCAATATTATGCCCCATTCCACCTTCCCCTCCCCCCCTACACCCTGCCGTCCTGTGGGGTGGCACCCCTCACCCTCCCACAGGGAGGGAGCCCAGAGGCTGGAGGGAGCCCCATATGTCATGTCACTAACTCCAGTCTGTGTCTGTGTTTGTGTCCGTCACCGTAAATAAAGTCTAAACACTTTACAAGAGGTGCAGGCGTCTGTCCACACCAAACGCCATCCCTGGGCTCTGCCCAGCTCAGGGACCGCCCACCTGGCTGGCTCCCCTCCCGCAGCTCCTTGTTCAGGTTTGTGACACAGTACAGGCGCCAAGCTCCCTTAGGGTGCTCTGGATAAGAAAAGGGCCTTGCCCTGAGGTGTGTAGGGCTGCTTTTTGCAGCATGCACCCTGTTAGGCATGGGGTGGGGCCGTGGAGGCCAACACACGAGGTGGCCTTGGAGGTGACTGGCCTTGCAGGCCGCAGGCCCGGTGCATGCATTTGCTTGTTTGCACGTCATCTCCTACATCTGTACGTGAGTGCAGGATGGGAAGGGGACTATGAAGAGTGGGCAGATTGTACTGACTGAGGTCAGAGGGGTTGGGGGGCAGGGTAGGTGGAGGGTAGGAGGGCTGGGGGTCCAGCCAGGGTGCATGGGGGCCGGGCAGGCAGCCTTTCTCATTGCCCAGGTGGAAGGGCAACCATTGGCTCTGCTGGGAGACCCGAAGCAGGAAACCCTGAGATGGGTTGGTCCCTGGTAGCTGTGACCAACCAGCCCCACAGCAGTTGTGAGCCTCTAACAAGGAACAGGGGAAGAAGGGAGAGTTGAGTGGCTTCCTTTCTGGAACTCCTGGCTTTTATAAAGGGTAACTCTGTTCTTTTTTTTATGTTTTTTTTTTGTTTGTTTGTTAACAGGAAAAAAGCAGAAAATGAATATAAGAAAACAAATACCCACCCCGCAGGGGATGACCTGTTAGACCCTGGGCTTGCACATTTTCATCCATTCTTCTTTAACTTGTTTGTTGGAGATGTGTGTGGAATGGATGTCCTGTGCCAGTCAGCTGTTGGGTCCTGGGGCTGGGAGATGGGGCCTAAACCCCAAGGGGCTGAGGAGGGACAAACAGGTGGTGATGCAGGGCACAAGGGGCAGGCCCAGCCCGAGGCTCCAGGAAACCCTAGCGCTCAGATCCAGACCTGAGAGTAAGCAAGTTGCTGGAGCCAGGGTATGAAGGCCTGAGGTGGCTAGGAGGGTATCCTTACATCCTTACATCAGTGCAAGGGCCCTGCCGCTGAACAGAAGGCGTCCTGCGTGGAAAGGAAGGCAGGCCTGGCCCAGACAGGTGGAGGCCCCGGGTGCAGGACAGGCCATCAGGGTGGTAGGACCAGGCAAAGACAGGCAGGACAGATCCTGTGGGGCCGGGTCAGGCTGGGGATCTGTCTGAAGAGATGGAGGGGTTTGAGCCAGAGTGGGTCAGACTTCCTGAGAAGAGTTCCTGCTGTGTCGGACAGAGTGCTGGGGCCCAAGCCGGCTAAAGAGAAGAGAGGGATTTCGGAGCAGAGGGGCCTGGGCTGGGCTGGGCTGGGCTGGGGGGTGGGGCAGTGATGAAGGCCCTGGAGCACCTGGGTGGGTACAACCCTAATGCACCTGGAGGGGCTGGGCTTGAGGAGCTGAGAGCCAACTGGAAAGAGACCAGGAGGCCTGTCGCACCAGAGGGAGGGGATGCTGAACATAAGGGAGCAGGTGGGCTGTTCTGGGATCCTCGAGCAGGGAGAAGAGGCTCTCACACTGGGAGGTCAAGGGGAAGGTGGGGTGGGGGCCAGAAGTGTCTGGGAGTTGATGCTTCCAGAGGGAGGGGCTCTCAGGACAATCACTGCTGAGCCTCAGCACCCACGGGTGGCTAGGTGAGGTGGCCCCGCTGAGCAGGAGGGGAAGCCCTGACCTGCTCTCCGCAGCACTGGGCGGGGATCTGGGCTCCAGGCTGGGAAGCTGCAGGCTTGGAGAAGCTTTCCTGCCTTGGTGCACTGCTCCTGAGGAGGCGGTAAGAGAGCAGCTGAACAGGAGAGGGCCCTGAAGCCCCTACCAGGGCATCTCAAGGTTGGGAGCCCAGATGAATTAGGTGCTGCTCCCCAGCAAGGAGCTTGTGAAAGGTGGTTTGGCCCCCGTGGGACAGGAACCGAGCAGATGAGGGGCAGCTGGAGCCGGAGCAAAGCATCACTTAGGAAGGGAGGAGACTGTCTAGTGTGGGTGGCAGAGGTGGGGAGGAAAGGCGGGAAACCCCCCAAGGCCGAAAGAGTAAGAGGTGGTCCACTGGTCATCACATTGGAACAGCCACCCATCCTCCCAGCGCCATCCTTCAGGGGTCTCCTCCTCTAGCTCAGACTACCCCCACCTCCCCGGGAAGGGAGCGCAGCCCCTCCCCTCCCCGCCCCCTCCCGTGAAGGAGGCGATGCGGGGTTGGTGGGGGGGGGGAGCCTGCGGACTCTGGGACTCAGGGGCTGTGGGACTGATGGGTTTATCACGGTTAAGCGCCGGTGAGCGCAGGCGGCTGGCCAGACTGGGGCTCGCCGGGTCCCGGCCGCCCCGCGCCATCGCCCTGCGAGCCCGGGACGCCCGCGTGGATCCCCTGGTTCTCAAGTTTGGCGCCCTCGAACACTGTCGACTCCATCCCAACTTCTACGCGGAGGAGAAGTATGGACACTGCGCCTTTAAGGGAGCCAGGGACGGGGTTCTGGGTGGGCGGGGGCTATGGGTGGGCGGGGCCCTAGGGGCGGGGCCTTCTCGAAGTGGCCCGAGGGCGCGGCCGCCTGGACCCGCCAGGCGCCCAGCGCGGAGCAGACATGACCTCGTGCAGGTGAGCCAGGGCCGCTAGGTGACTGGACTCCGCGACGCCCTGGAGATGGGCTTCGGGCCCGACGGGCACCGACGGGTAGCGCCGAGACCTGCCCCCGGGCCTGACCTCCTGGCACAGACCTCTCTCCAGGGCCAGGGCACGAGGCCAGGGTCCCAGGCCCACGAGGGCGGGCCTCACCCAAGCAGTTGAAAGGGACCCTTTCTAATGGGGGTGGGGGATGGCCTGGGTGAAGGTCAGATGTACCCTGATCCCAGGGAACAGAATTAGCCCTGCAGGTGGGGGGTGGCAGTGGTTGGAGCCTAGCATGGGCAGCCGGTGTCAAGAGAAAGTCAGACCCTCCCACTCTCCCTCCCCTGGACTCCTAGCCTTGCTCCAGGCTCCCTTCTGGCCACTGGATTTGGGTTCTGCCGGCTGCAGGTAAACCTTGCTTCCCTAGCACTCCTCAGGGCAGGAGCTCTGAGGGGTCCTGCAGGGTCTAGTCTCCTCTGCTCTAGTCTTGGTCTCCTGACCGTACCTAATGACAAAGACCAGCCCTCTCTAGATGGTCTCATCTTTCCTCCAGACCCTCTTAAGAGCCAGGTTTAGGGGACAAGCTCCCTGGTAGGGACCTGAGAGCCCAGGCAGCTGCAGGTCAAGCCAGCTTCCTATCTCCATGCAGAGGGAAAGTGGGAAGCGTGAACAGGAACTGGGCCCTGAGCCAGGGCCTGGGAACTGGGCCTTCGTGCCCTTTCTGCTGGATCCCTGCTCTGTGGGTATGTGTGCACACGTGTGTGAGCTCAGACTCAACCATGCATGTGGGTGTCCATGGGGGCTCATACAGGTGTGGGACACATCACTGGGGGCTTGGTGAGGCAGGAGGTCACAGGAGGGGTCATGCTATGACCCTGAGCGACTTCCTAGATAGGCGAGGGGCTGGACAAGGTCTGATTTTCAGGGTACCCAGGGTGTCTCTGGACCTAAGGGGCAAGTTCCTTAGCCCCAGGCAGAGACCCCTGCCTCCCCCCATATCCCACCAGCAGCACCTCGGTGATGAGGGTCCCAGGATCCCTAGGAAGAATGTCGTGAGGAAGCAACTAGGCACAGTGGCCTCCGTCAAGGTCATGGGCCTTCTTAGCTCAGAAATAGTGGAAATCAGTTGGATCTCAGGAACTTGTCTGTGATAATAGCCCAAATTCAGTGAGGAGTGGGTTTTGAGGTCTGGTTGGAATGACCCTCAGACTCCCTTCAGCCTCACTCTTAAATTTTCCCCCAGGCAAGTTCTGGTGCTCAGAGAAGGCCCTTTCATGTGCATGTGACCGTGCTCCAGCCTGGGAAAGCCCCGGGTGGGGCTCTGACCGCTCTTGCCAACCCCTCTCTGCCCCACCCTGTGCTGACCATCTGGACTGTTACTGCTCTGGCCCACATCCCTCTGAGGTCTGGACAGTGAGGTCTGTCCCCCGTGTCCACCCCCACCTCATGTCCCCTTCCTGTGGCCCTGTGGTTGGTGGGTCAATGGGCATGTCCATCAGCACTGCTCACCCAGGGGCCTCCAGCACTGTGGGGCAGGGCCAGATGCAGACGTCTGATACTGATGCCTGGGAGGGGGCTGGGCCCCATGGTGGGGTGGTGGGCATGCAGAGCCCCCTTGGGCTCACCCGCGGTTCCAAGGGTCGGAGAAGAAGGTATATCTCTGCTTAATTTGGTTCTGTATAGACAGGATGGAGCTTGGTTTGGTTTCCTCTTGTACCAGAAGGGTCAGGGCCTGCGGCCTGGGGGCAGGGAGATGGAGAAGGACACTGTCTGTGCTCCGGGGTCCTCAGGCCTGGAACCCTTCCCCCAATGGACTGCGGATTCCCCATCACGACAGTGTCTGCCCTGCAGGAGTGTCCAGCCCCAGTATCACCGGTGTAGGCGGTGACAGGCCATTCCTGTGTCTCCCAGGGTCCCAGGGTTGGGGCAAGGCCACACAGGGAGCTAGGCCAACCAGTGGCCAGTACAGGTTCAGGCTGGTTTGGTTAGGTAGCCTGGGCTGTTCCTGGGCTCCTGAACACGGCCCGGGTTTAGTTGGGCCTTGAAGGGCCCAGGCCTCGAGACCTGCCGGGAACCCAGTATGCCCCCATTCACCCTACCTGCCTTCCTTCCCTGGCACTGCAAGACCATGTCGCCAAAGCTGAGCTGAGTCACGGACCCAGCACAGAGCCGGGAGCTCTCTGGCACAGAGGTGACCCTGGGCCCTGGCACAGAGCGGGTACGGGGATCGGAGATGAGGACCTGTAGCCTCCCTACCTCCTCCCACCCCCTTGGCCAGGGGCAGCAAGCCTCACTGGTCTGCCGGGCACTCAGCTGCACGTCAGGTCTGGCTGGGGGATGTGAGGCCCTGCGTCAGCCCGGGATTCAGGAGGGCGGTGGTGCGAGTGGCGGCAGCCTCACGGGGGCCCCACCCCTGGAGATTTCCACCTGATAGACCCAGGGGCAGTTTGTGGGGAGGAGAGGGGGACAGGAAGTACGACTGAGAGTCCCTGAAAGGACAGCCAGGTGCCTTCACCCTTCTCTGCGGCTCTGGTTCTGGGCCTCCACCCTCTACCGCTGCCCAGTGCTCTGGGCTTTGCCCATCTCGAGCGGGAATCTGAGGCTACTGGGGCTGGGCGGGGAGGGCCCCTGGGTGGACGACGTGCTGCAGCAGAGTAGGGGGCTTGTGGTAGAGGGGGTTGGAAGGGTTTTGGGTTCCACTCCCCCCCGCCCCGCACGGTCTTGTCGTTGGTCCAAGGACAGCATGAAGCCATTGCCCTTTTCCTGGTGGCCCCGCCTACTCTCCTGTGGCTGGCTCTGGAGGTCACCCTGCGGCATCCCCTGTTCTAGGAGGCCTTCCCGGGCAGCCTTACCCGCTGGGCTGTTTGACCAAAAGTTGCCCCCGGGTCCCCCGAGGAGGACGGCACTCTTGTTCTGGGAGGGCTAAGTGACAAACGCCGGGGTTGGGGGCGTCCCTGGGCTTGCAGCATGTGCCCCGTGAGGGCAGGCGGTGGCCAACACCACACCAGGAGGGGTGGAACTGACAGGGTCTGCTGCCAGGGCCCTGAGGGCAGGAAGGAGGCCCTGGGTGACACAGGGGCGCCCCGAGTACCTTGGCCAAGCTGTGATGCCCTGGCAGGGCCAGAGGCACCAGGCACAGACTTCGAGGCGAGGTTCCTAATGGTGGCTGTGTGGGGGTGCTGGATGGCGTCTGTCCCACTCGCCCCCACCCCCCTCCCCAGCCGCAGGGATGTTTCTGCTCATCTTTGTCCCTGGGACCCCATGGCCCCACTCCTTCCCCACAGCCCTCAGAGCCAGCCGGTGGCCATTGCCCATGGCGGGCTATAAGCACCGGCCCACAACAGGCCCCATGGGGGAGGTTGCGTGTCGGCCAGGACTTTGGGAGCCCAGAGGGCACTCAGTTGTTACCCCAGCTCTGCAGCGTGGCCACTTGTGGTGCTCGTTCCAGGTGGTTTCACCTTAACATTGGTGGAGTTGAGGCAGAGAAGCTGCTCCTGTCCAGGGGCCAGCACAGGAGCTTCCTGGTGAGACCCAGCAAGAGCTGCCCCGGGGGCTTCACACTGTCCATCAGGTGGGTGACGGTGGCTGGGAGCGATAGCCACGTGTGTTCGGCTCTGAGGCTCCGCCCTCAACGGGGGGACAGAGGATCAGTCTTCCCCGTCTTCCCAGAAGGATGCTGGGCATTTTCCTGGAAGTGAGGGCACCCGCTCAGGACAAGATACCCAAGAATCTGTGTTTTGTGTGGGGAGGGGAGCCAACAGCTCAGCAAGGGTGGGTGGAAATCTGGCCTTCCAGACCAGGTGGCTTCCGGACCGGAGGGGGTCACTTAAAAGGGCTTGGGAAGGGCTCAGAGAGGTAAGGAGTGAGCAGGACCTCCCTCCCACCCTCTGAGGGGTCAGCTGTTGTGGACGGGGGGGGGGCCTCTATGGCTGTCCTTACGACCCCATCTCCTGGGGATGCTGCCCACCAGGAGTCAGGCCGGAAGCCCTGAAAGGCCCTTGTGTGGGGAGGAGGAACGGGGAGGGGCCGCAGCAGCCGGACCGGTATGGGCCCTAGCCAGGTCGGCATCGGTCGGTGAGGAGAGGCCATCTGGGGAGGGGGCTTCCCGTAGGTCTCTAGATCTTTCCAGTATCTCTGCCACACCTGAGGCAGCAGGTGTGACTGACGTCAGCTCTCACGCTGCAGGGACTGCCGTCCTTCCCTGGGGCTTTCCTGGTGGCTTCCCGGCCGTGAGGCCTGGTCATCAGGAGCCCCCAGGCAGGCCGCCTGGGGTGAGGCAGAGCCCATGGCAGAGGGCTGCTCCGGCGTCGGCCTCCAGGCCAAGGGAGAGCAGGCCTTGGGCTGCGAGCCCAGTCCTGACTTCGCTGGGGAGCAGGTGGGACACCCGCCACCCCGGGAGGGACTCGCACACTGGCTGATGGGGAAGGGCCTGGCCCTGGTTGTTCCTGGTAGGGGAGCAGCAGAGACGGAGACATCAGCACAGGAAAGCTCAGGGACTGTTCTGGAAGCTGCGGGTGGTGATGGGAAGAAGCGATTGGTGGGAGCAGCACCCCTACACACAGCAGTGACTAGTGCATCTGCCCCCCCACGACAGTGACTAGTGCACCTGCCCCCCCACAGCAGTGACTAGTGCACCTGCCTTCCAGGCGCCACAATGAGGTGGCCCACATCAATGTCCAGAACACGGGCGACTACTACGATCTCTACGGAGGGGAGAAGTTCGCCACTCTGGGCGAGCTGGTGCATCACTACACAGGCCAGCGTGGGGGGCTGCTCCGTGAGCGCAGCGGGGCCCCGGTAGAGCTCCGGCAGCCACCGGGCTACCAGCACCCTGTCTCTGAGCGGTGAGCGGCAGCTCCACGTGTGCGAGTGTCCATACGAGTGGGCATGTGAGTGTCCGTGTCTGTAGGGCATGGCCTCCGGGTTTCCTTTGCCCTCCGTGGCCAGGGTCAGGCTTGGGCACAGCTGCGGCCAAGCTGAGGGAGCGTCCTGCAGGCCCCCCTCCCCAGGGTCTCTAGGTCCGGGGCTTCCTCTAGGTTCCTCTAGGTCCGCGGCCCTGGCCACAGGGGTGAAATTGTGCTGCTGGAGCCCTGCAGCCAGTGTGATGCCCGCCCTCCTGCCTGGTGACTCCGACGAGCAGTGCCCTCCAGCCTCAGCCTTTCTGGTGCACTGCTGAGACCTGAAGAAGCCGCATCTGCCAGGGCAGGGTGGTGGAGCTGGTCTGAGGTGGCCCCGTCCCTCCTTGCTGGGGACCAGACTGCCACCTGGTGGCCACCCTCGGCCCTGCCGGGCTCACCTGGCTTGCCTCTGGCCTGCCTGCTCCTGGGTAGGGGGAGAGTCAGAGAGCTGGTCAGGGCTCGCTGAGGCTGGCCTGAGTGAGGGTACGGTCTGGGCCCTTGAGATCTGGGTGGGTCCGTCTGTCTCCCTCTGTGTCTGTGTCTGTGTCTTGGAGGCTTCTGGCTGCATGTGGATCTGTGTCCCCTCACCTAGCCCGGCCACAGCCCCCAGTCTCACCAGGGCTCCCCCCCAACCCCCACCACCCTGGGCCAGGTGGTACCATGGACACCTGTCTGGCAAGGAGGCCGAGCAGCTGCTGATGGAAAAAGGACGTCTAGGCACCTTCCTGGCGCCGGAAAGTCAGAGCAAGCCTGGGGGCTTCGTGCTGTCCGTGCTCACACCGAGGCCTGAGAAGGCTGCCCTCCAGCCGCAGGTCACACACATCATGATCCACTTCCAGGTGGGGTGTGGCAGCAGGGACAGGGGTGTGGCTGGGGGAGGGGGTGGGCAGTGGCCAGGCCCCACACTGCGGTCCCCACAGCCAGATGGGAAGTACGACGTGGGAGGAGGGGAAGAGTTCGACCCCTGGCTGACCTGGCGGAGCGCTACAGGAAGAACCCGATGGTGGAGAAGTCGGGGACGGTGGCGCAGCTCAAGCAGGTACGCCAGGAGGCATGTGACCCTCGGGATCCAAAGTGAACTTTGTCCCTGGGGTGGGGACGGCCCAAGGGACAACAGGACCAGGGAAGAGGGCACTAGGCAGTGCTGGGGCAGGGTGGCCTCAGGGAAACTGTGGGGTCCGCCCCTGGGGTCTGCTGGACCCTGCTAAGTGTGGACGCCGCGCTCTCCCGGCCAGCCCCTCAAAGCAACGAGGATCAACGCCACAAGCATCGAGAGCCGACTGCAAGAGCTCAGCGGGCCCACTGATGCCGGCGGGAAGGCCAAGCAGGGCTTCTGGGAAGAATTTGAGGTGCCCGCCCCCCACGCCATAGACTCCCATCCTTTGGGGCTTGGGCGAGGGCCAGCAGAGGGGTGAGGCTTAGGGGAGGAAGGACGGTCACCAAAGGCTCTGGGGAAGGGTGGGACAACAGGCTGACGCTTCCGTGCTACCTCCCCCAACCAGATGCTGCAGCAGCAGGAATGTCGGCTCCTGTACCCCCGGAAGGAGGGGCAGCGGCTGGAGAACAAGCCCAAGAATCGCTACAAGAACATCCTTCCCTGTGAGGGCCAGGCAGGGGGCCGTGCTAGGGAGCCAGGGCTCTGTCCCGTGTGGGGCCCATCTGGCAAGCAGGGGCCCCAGGGAGGTGGAGGCAGGGGGTTGTGCCCCTCTGCTGGTGTGACTTTTCCTTTTTGCATTCAGGGCCCCTTCCTCCCTCATCTTGCTCACCCCGGGGTCCACAGGCAAAGAGGTGGGTGAGGTCCCCTCTTCCCTCCATCTCCCCTGGAGACCTGAGCAGCAGCTTTCCCTTCCCAGTTGATACCACCCGTGTCACTCTGCGTGATGGGGACGACACTGTGCCTGGAGCCGACTACATCAACGCCAACTACATCAGGGTGGGTGTGCGAGAGGCCAGCTGCGCGCATGGCCTAGCCTGGCTCCGATAGGACATAAGAGCCGTGTCCGGCCACACACCGGTCACTCTCTCCCCCTCTTACGAACCTGGAGCTCCCAATGGCAGGCCCAAGAAGATCCAGGTGCCCATGATCCGTGGACCCAGGCAGGACACTAGACGGTGTTGGGAGAGAGGGGCTGTGTCGGTTTCCAGTGTGTCCTCAGAGTGGGCTGGACTAAATCCTGGTCCCTGGCACCCCCCTAGCCTAGGGCAGGAGGGGCCACGTGTGAGCCAGCTGGTGCTGCTTTGCACGTCATTTGCATAGACGTGCACTGTCCTCTGGCACTTTAAATCCTGGAAACTGTGGGCACACCCACCCTTACGGAGCCATCCGGAGAAGCCAGGTCACGGACCGGGCAAGGTGTACATCGCCGCCCAGGGCTGTCTGCAAAGCACAGTGGCTGCCTTCTGGGCAATGGTGCACCAGGAGAACACGCGGGTCATTGTCATGGCCACGAGGGAGGTGGAGTGAGGCCGGGTAGGAGCTCGGGCTTGACAGCCCCCTCCCCACCATGTGCTCATGTGGACCTGTGCTGGTGGCTGGCCCAGCCTCGCTTCTCCTTCAGCCTTTGGGATGCTGGGGGGGTATGTGGGCATGTGTGTTGTGAGGGAGACTCTGGAAAGCCCCTGTGTGTGCATGTGCAGCACTGGGGCACCAGGCACGGGTGCTGGCGGTCCTGCAGCACAGCTGGTGTAATGCACCCCCCCACAGAACAAATGCTTCCGGTACTGGCCCGAGCTGCAGGGCAGCCAAGAATATGGCCGTGTGCGTATTTTCAACTTGGCAGAGTACCAAGCCCAGGGCTACTGCGTGCGGGAACTGCAGGTGTGGCGGCCAGATCAGGTGAGCCCAGAAGGCCACAAGACATGAGGGGCCAGAGTCACAGTAGTCAGGAAGTCCCCAGGTCTGAGCTGCAGAACCCCCCCTCCCCGCCCCAACGTGGCTCCACCCAATCCCCCTGGCCGACTGCATTCATGTCTCTGAACCCAGTGGGCACAGGCCCTACCAGGGCTCTGCTGGGCAGTGCTCACAGGCAGGTCCCATTCTCAACCCCAAGTCCCCGGTCCCAGTTGCCTGGCCCCAGGGTGGCCTCACGCCCACATGGTCCCTCCCTCCCTGGTCTCTCCCTGAGCCACCTCAGTAGAATCAAGGGGCCGGTGGTACCTGTCTCTGTGGCAGCAACAGATTCCTTCCCGACCCCCACACCCACCCTGTCCCTCATGTCTAACCACCTGGGGGCCCTGTCGGCCCCTCACACTTGGCTCTTCTCAAATAGAGGTCATGGTCTGCTCCTTCACCCACTGCTCCTTCTTCCTTTTCCCAGGGGCCTGAGCCTGGGGCTGTCCTAGAGCCCCCAACCTCAGAATCCCGCATTTCTCTCCCATCCCCTCTGCTCGGCCTTGACCCTGCTGGTCACTCCTGGCAAACCCTGCCTGCCTCCTTCCCGGTCCTGCCCTGTGCCCCTCTCACCCTGGGGCTCACAGCGGCTCCACTCTGGCCCTGCGGCCTGGCCCCACCTGGGAACTGCCCAGACTGGCCCGGGGGAAGCTCACCCGCCCTCCCCGCCCAGGAGGAGCCGCGGCGCACAGTGGAGCACTACCAGTACTTCAGCTGGCCAGACCACGGGGTCCCGGCCGAGCCCTCCGGCGTCCTCGGCTTCCTGGATGAGGTGAACAGGGCCCAGAGCAGCATGCCGGGGGCTGGACCCATGGTGGTGCACTGCAGGTGCGATCGGAGACGGGGTAGGCGGGCAGGGCAGGTGCAACCCGGGGCAGGCCACGGCCTCCTCCCGTAAACTAGCCACAGGCCCCGGGTCGGTCCCCACAGCGCCGGCATCGGACGCACGGGCACCATCATCGTGATTGACATCCTGGTGGACCTCCTCCGCAGGCAGGGTGTGCCGCCCCGGCCCCGCCCCTCGAGCCTAGCCCCACCCCGTGCCCCGGCCCCGCCCCGCCCCTCGCGCCCAGCCCCGGCCCCGCCCTAAGCTTCTGGTCCCGCCCCTCGCACCTGGCCCTTCCCCGTGCCTCGGCCCCGCCCCTCGCGCCGGGCACTGGCCCGTGCCCCGGCCCGCGCTAGCCCCGCCCCGTGCTCCCGGCCCTGAGCGCGCCCTTGCCCAGGTCTGCACTGCGACATCGACGTGCCCAGGACCATCCAGCTGGTGCGGCGGCAGCGCTCGGGGATGGTGCAGACCGGGGCGCAGTACAAGTTCGTGTACCTGGCGCTGCAGAGGCACATCCAGGCCGAGCAGCTGCGCCTGCGCAAGCAGGTGGGGGCGGGGCCCGGCAGGGCCCGGCCGGGCCGACGGCGAAGTGGAGCGGGCGTGGGGGGCTGCGGCGACACCCCCGGGTGACCGACGGCCCCTCGTCCCAGCGCCGGCCGCCGGAGGAGCCCTACTACCTGAACGTGGGCCTCGGGTCGGCGGACCCCGGCCGCAACGCTGCCCCCTGCCCCCGTGTCGTCTCGGGCGCCGGCGGCGTGAGTGGGGTCGTCGCGGAGCGGGCCGGGCCAGGGTCCCGGGGGGAAGAGGGCACGCGGGACGGGATCCCGCGAGGGCGCCGACCGAGCCCTGTCTCCGCCCGCAGGATCCCGGAGGCGACCGGCGGCGAGTACGAGAACCTGCGGAGCCCCGCGCGGTGAGGGTGCCCGCGTGCGCGTGCCCCGGTGGGGGCCGGAGCCGCGCGGGATGGGGGGCCGCCGGGCCGGGGCGCTCCTCGGAAGGACCGTGTTTAGGGCAGCTTCTTCCCGCGTCTCCCCCAGCCCTCAGACCCTCCCGAACGTGGCCTGGACGCCTAGAAATGGGGAGGGGCAGTGGGGAGACCCGAGCGCCTTGCCCTTTCCGGGGCAGCCAGGTGAAGGAGGAGCGGGAGGGCCTCAGGGCTGTGGTGTGTCTCTCGGTGTGGGAGGCCGCCAGTCACCGCCTGCACCGCACGGTGACCACGTGTGACCCCGTGTGTGCCACATGTTTGTCATGAGTGGCCAGTCTGTGCTTGACCTCACTGGGGCCATCATCAGGGTTTGCCTGCCCCTACCCTCGTCCTCAGCACCCACCTCCGCTTCAGAGCTGCCATTGCGCGGGTGCACGTGAGATGCTCCTGTGAGCACGTGTGCGACCTCGTGTGCCCGGGTGAGGCTCACATGCGTGCGTGACTGGTGTGTGACCGCTGTGGCGTCTCTGGCGTGTTGTCTGTGCTCCTCCCATCACGGATGGCCCTGTGTCTTTTTGGTACCCTCAGTAAAATGACCTGGTCTCAGTTCTGTGTCTTTGTTAGGGTCTGGGACCCAGCTTCCCCGGGGGGGTCTCCCTGGGTAGCCTCCCGAGCCCAGCCTAGCCAGAGGCCCAGCTGGTTGGAGCAGGAAGTACTGGGCTTCCCGGTCAGGGGCAAGGAGGCTGCGGACTGGGGAGCCAGAACCAGCCTGGCCTCCCTTCGCCATGCTAACTGGTGGTGCAGGAGTCGGGGGCGGGGGGGCAGCGAGAGTAGAAACCAGCAGGGATGGCAGTGGGGGTTGACAGGGACTCCTGCCCATCCCTCGAGCCCCTGTACTTGGCCCCTGGAGGGTCTGCTGGAGGACCCTGGTGGTCACCACTTCTGCTTCTGTGCATCCTTAGGCCTTGGTTCGCAGGCAGTGGGTCCCAGGGTTCCTTGGCCCTCTTGTCAGGACTCTCGGCAGGTCTGAGAGGTCCAGACTTCTTGGGGTGGGGTGACCAGCTGGGGAGTGTTGGAGGAGGGGTCTGGACCATGCCGAGGCCCTGTCCCTTCCCGCCCAACCCACCCTGCCCCAGGTGCCCATCTTCCGGGGGGGCCTCAGAGTTCTGGGTAGGGAGCAGGACTGCTCCAGCCTATCCACAGCCCACAGGGGACAGGAGTTGGACACCCTAGAACCTGGGGGCTCTCTGCCCTAGGGGCTGCCGGGATTTCAAACCAGTGGGCGTGTCCTCTACATTACAGCTCTCTGAGACAGGGGCAGACCGTGTTTTTCTGGAGGGAGAGGCTCAGTGGCGTGGGGAGGAGGGCACACAGAGTGAGGACCCCTTACCAAATGTGGATACAAAATAATTTATTTAAAAATGTACAGTTCTGGATGGGCCCTGGAGGACTGGGTCCCCCTGGTCAGAGGGCAGGATTAGCTCCCTCACCCAATGGAAGGGGCCAGCCCTGCCTGGGGAAGGGGTCTGGGTAAGGAGCTGTGGGTGAAATGTGAAAACAGAATAGAAATGGTGAGCACCTTCCCTCAGCAAAGGGCCGCAAGTGCCGGTGATTCACAGTGTGTGAGGAGCCGTCATAAAGGCCGGCTGTCTGGGTTGGAGTAGGAAGGTGGTCTCTGGCGCCCAGGGGAGCCTGTGATTCCTGGGAGCTTCGGGGACCCCTTTGTCGGTCCATCCCGATCGAGCCACACGGCAAAGGGAGGCGGTGAGCCAAATGGGTACGGGGTCCTCAGAGACCTTGGGGCCTCTCTGGGGCACTGGCTCCCAACAGCTGCCGCACCTGGGACCACAGCCGAGGGCGGGGGACCCACAGCCGGAGCTGGGGCCAGGGTGGCCGAGCCTAGTTGTCGGCCAGGGGTCCAGGAGAGAAGGCGGCGGTGGCAGCGGTGGCAGGCGGCCGGGGGAGGCAGCGCAAGTTCCCGGTCTTGAGCGCGCACTGTACGGGCCAGAGCACCACACAGAAGAGCACCAGCAGCAGGGCAGTGACCAGTGCCACCCGCCTCCAGTCCCTGCAGCGCACCCAGCAGCGGGCCAGCCGGCCCCGGGGACGGGCAGGGCGCGGGGCGGGCGGGGGCGCAGCAGGTTCCGCGGGCTTGCTCAGGCCCACGTCCACGCACACGAAGCCGGGCGCCGGGCGGCCGGGGGTGGTGGGCGGCGGGTGGCAGCAGAGCTTAGTGCCCTCCAGCCACACGGGCTCCTCCCGCCGCAGGTGTGCCGCCATCCTGGCCTGCAGCTGGCGGCTGGTGCGCAGCGCGGGGGCCCCGGCCGCCGGCATAGCCGTGGGCTGCCGGCAGAAGGGGCAGGGCACAGCCTCGCCGCCGGGCCGGCCTGTGGGCTGGGCGGCCGCCAGCCGTGCCAGGCACTCCAGGCAGAAGACGTGTGTGCAGGAGAGCTCCTTGGGCGTCTTGAAGATGTTGTCATAGCCCGAGAAGCAGATGGAGCACTCCAGCGGGGAGGCCGCCTTCTCTGAGCCAGGGGTGCTGGGGGACCTGGGCACAGGGGCCATGGGGCTGGTCCAACCAAGGGCTGGCACGGCTGTATGCCACACTTGCTGGCCCGATGACATGACTGAGCTGGGGGACAGACGGAGAGCACCGTGAGTGACCGCAGGCCACCCGTTTGCCGCACAGTCTGCTCTCGCTCTGTGTCTCTCTCGCGCAGCACCAGCCACAGAGCTCCCTAGGACACTGCCCACCTGTGGGCACCTCCAGAAAGTCCTCCCTGTACCAGCGTCAGGGTCCTTCTGCTCAAGTTGTAACCCTGCCCTCCCTCACCTCCTCTCATGCCAAGACAGGGGTGAGCGTCCCGGGGCGCGGGGAGGCTCCAGGCCTGGCCAAGGGTCTTAGACTGGAGGCCGCGTGCACAAGGGTGTCGTGCTGACGGCTCAGTGGACACCTCCTGTTGAGCCTGTCCTACCTAGCAGTGCCACCCGGGCATAAGTACAGTGGATGGCATGGCCCACCGTAGTTGCTGCTGACCTCTGGGCTCTGCCAGCTGTGCCAGTCACGGGATACACAGCAGCCACAGTACAAAAACGGCAGCTTGGAGAGTGGGACGACTCAGCCAGGGTCACCTTGCCAAGGGGTCAGCGGGACCTGGAGGAGGGTGGCTCTGGGTTGGACGAAGTGGGTTTGAACACGGATCCCAGCACAGGCACCTGACGTGGTTGATACACACCCAGTTCTCGGGCCACTGTAGGAGGGTGGGGTGCCACGCCTGGCTGGCTGAGGGTCAGGACTCTGTCTGGGGGCCAGGGTGAGCCGGCTGGCTGCAGGAAGTCGAGGAGGGCCTGGACAGGGGTGAGGGCCGGTGTCCCAAGGAGGGTTTGTGTCCCAGCCTCGCCCGAACCTGTAGGGCCAGCTTGTCTGGCTGGTGATGAGGGCTTTCTGCTGGCCCTCAGGACCCAGAATACACCTCAGCCCGAGGAGCCAGAGGTGGAGGAGCCAAGCCATCCTCTGGGATGACCCACCACCCCGCAGGGTCCCACAGGGACACAGCTGCCGTCCTCCTGACGCGCTTTCCGTTTCCAGGGGGCCCTGCCTCTGTCTCCCTGGCAAGGCTCAGGTGACCTGCCTGCTGACCCGGGCCCTGTCCAGCCCTGCCTCTTGGCCTGCCACATGGGTCTTGCCCGGAGGAGGACAGGTAAGGAGGACAGTGGACAGACCCCATGAAGCCCAGAAGGACCCCCCAGAGGTGACCCTGACCCTACCTTGCTGATCAGCCCAGGTGGGCGATGACTTGTGGTGATGTATAGGTCCGGGTGTTGCTGTGTGATGACTCTGACCACCATGAGTCACAGTGACATCACTGTGATGTCACGAGTGCTCCCAGCATTGCAACACGACATGTCACCCCATTTGGGAACAGTGGTGGCCGCAGGCTAGGCAGCAACCTCAACATAGTCAGCGGCGGGGACCACAGGCTAACCCCCTCCAGGCCCGTGTGCCCCACACAACCAGCCCCTTGGCACTGAGGTCTCAGCCCTCCTCAGAGGCAAGCGCCCCCCCCCCCCGCCCCGAGCCTGTACAAGTGAGAGGCGAGTGCCAGCTGAGCTGGCCTTACCTGGTGGCTGGGGGTCGTCAGCAAGGCCCGAGCATGGTCCTCGAGGCTGGGCACCACCAGGCTGTGAGGCTCTGAGCGCTCCTGTCCCGCGGGAGCTTCTTTGGCCCCTCTCCTCCCGGCTGGCCGCCAGCCGCTGTCCTTCCTGGTGGCACTGGTCTGGCAGGTGTGCCCACTGCTCTGTCCCAGGCAAGCGGGGCTCAGGGGGCTGTGTGCACGCTTCCAGAGGCCGAGAACTGTCCGGAGCAGGTGTGAATTCTCTGGGTGCCGGCTTCCGGCAGGTGTATTTATACACTCAGGGTCATACCAGCCAGGGGTGTGGCCTGGGGCCTCTGGGATTGGCTGGCCTGCTGTCCTCGCCCCGGCAGGCTGGGCAGCGGAGCGCGGGAAGTCAGAGGTGAGAGATCCGAGCCTGGGGTGAGGCTGGGGCAGGTCTGGGGGTGCTGGGTGCCAGGGTAAACCCTTCCTCTGGCAGCCCCTGGGATGCTGGAGCAGCCATTCCACAAACAGATCCACTCGCAAACCCTGTTCAAGGTCCTGGTGGCACCGGAGCGCTTACGGGGGCTCCCAGAAGGGCCTGTCCGAGCAGCACCCCCACTTCACCCACACAGCCTGCTTCCGGCCTGTGCCAGCGCAGTGCTCACCGCATGAGGGAGCTCCCCGCTCTGGGTCCCAGGAGGCGGGTGAGAGGTCAGGGCTGGGCACCCCCAAGGGGCGGAGTCGGGGTGAGCGTGAGTCAGGGATGAGACTGGCCACAGGACTTGCTTTGGGTGAATGTCTCCTGGGGGTGCCCTCAGTCACACACATGAATTCAGCCCAAGGAAGCCCCCAGCACGGCCAGGGAGGCCAGACATCTTGCTTCCAGTCAGTGTGGGACCCCTGCAGACCCCAGGCCCAGCAGATGCAAAGGCCTGGGGCTAAGGCGGGGTCTGGGTGGAGGCTGCGGGGCTGGGGCTGGGGTCTGGCCGGCAGTGGGCTTGTGTCCCTCGCAAGCATGCGCTGTTCCAACAGCGCCGAGCCCACCAGGGGATCCAGCGCCTGCGATGAGGTGCGCTGGCTGGCCAGGGGAGAGGAGCGAGGGACCCAAGGAGGGGGCTGGGCACTCGGTGTGGGGAGCTGCTGTGTGGCCTAGGCCTGGCTTGTGCATGACGGGGTTCTGGTTCCCGAGGGCATCATGACTCGGGGTCACATGCTGCCTCCAGGAAGTGTCCTCGGTGCCTTTGCTCTGAGAACACCCTTGAGGGCTCCTGGGAATGTTCAAGTTCTGAGGTCACTTGAGCTCCTTGGTGGACAAGTCAGCACCCAGAGGCAAAGGGAAGACCTGAGGAATGTGCCATCTGGGGCGGCGGCCAGGCCTCCCCGCTCGGGAGCAGAACCCAGCCCTGGGCACTGGGGTCTTGGCAGCTCAGGACCTGGTGACCCATCTGGTCCCCACACACCTGCTCATCCCCCATCCCGGCGGGTGGGCAGCTGTGCCGTGTGGGTGCAAGTGCTGCACATGTCCTCCGTGTTAGTGGACCCCCAGGCTAACCTGGCTAATCTCGAGTGTGTCCACTCGGATGCCGGTGCAGACACACCTGTGAGGGGAGCGTAGCTTCCAATGTGTGTGTGGCCCCACCGCCCTGGGACTCGGCTGGGGAGAACACAAGGTTCCCAGTGAGCCACCCACCCCTGTCCTGTGGCTCTGAGATGTGGGGCCCTGAGTCCCCAAGGGCTGGACGCAGAGCTTGTGCTTGGCCAGGTGAGAGGACTGTAGCCCCAGGGCCCACTCTGGCTGTGGTCCCCCACCTCAGGACTGGGACAGAATGGGCTTCAACCCCCAAGTGCTGTCCAGGACACACAGAATGGCCACTGCACAAAGAAGCCCTTCCGGACTCATCTGGGACCCAGGTGGCCTGGGGGTGTGAGGGCTGATTCCCCCCACCGTGCTTGCCCAGTGCTGGGTAATGTCTGCTGCTCTGCTGCCCCACCCCCATCAGCTGGGGACTGTGATGCTGGAGAGACTGTGACACGTGCAGGCTGCGATTCCCACATGGGCAGAAACTGGGCCCCGGGCTCCGGACGGGCTCAGCATTGCCCTGGGGGGACATCAGTGGACTCAGCCAGTCCTGCCCCTGCCACGCCCAGGGCTGAAGGCCACGTCCCCTGAGGTCAACTCGGGGCCCCTCCCCATCTCTCTGCAGCCAGCACCTTCTGGGGTCTCGTGCCCAGGTTCCTGGCCAGGACCTCTGCCCTCACATCACCTCCCAGGCCCCACGCAGTCCTCCTCTGTGCACCCACCTCCTAAGGCAGCTCTAGGTCTTTCTCTTGCTAACGTCTGACCTCGCCACTTCTCGGGGCTTCTCCCAGCGCTGAGTGAATCAATGAACGGCCCGCAGGCCGTGAGCCCAGGACTGTGCCAACTGCCCATCCCCCATACATGCGCCTCTCCTCGGGTGTGGGGGAGCCCCACAGCAGTTGACCTGGTGGGGGCTCAGAAGGGGACAGATGCCCCACTGGCCTGTTTCAGCCAAAGCCAATGGCTCCTGAAATAGGCCTCACATTGGCCTCCTACGTGAACGCTGGAGTCCAGGTAAGGGCAGGAACCCTAGTGTAGGTGCCTGACCCTACCAGCTGCCCGCTCCCGGCTCAGGTGCCCTGCACCCCACTGCACCCGCTCACATGCTTTCTAGCCCATCTGTGCCCATCTGGGAGGCTGGGCTTGGGAGCCAGGGGAGAACGAGCAGGACCCATCAGGGTGATGGGGCTTGGAATCCCAGTGACTCTACTCCCCATTTGGGGGCCTAAAGGACAGTGACACCCAGGCCCAGGGGATGCCCAGTGGCAGGGGGGACGCTGGCAGACCAAGGGCCCCAAAGACCAGGCCCCCAGGCCTTGAAGGTCAGGGGAACACATCTTGAGTGTGAAGCTGAAGGGGGCTGTAGGGTCAAACTCAGAGTTGTCTTTGCTGCCAAAGGTGGGGCAAAGCTGAGGCTGGGGGCTGGGAGGGGGGTCCTCTGGGGAAGGGACAGGGAGATGTTGGGATATCCCCGGGTTTCTAGGCTGTACCTCAGGGTGGCAGGAGATGGAGAAGACCTGGGGTGGGAGACCCCCATCTGTGCCTGGCCTGGGCCTCCAGGGCCTGATGGGCTGGACCTGCTTTCCTGGTCCGACAAGGCTCTGCATTTCCTGTTTTGTCCCCCAGATTAGCAGCCATGCTTGGTGCAAAGGTGGGAACAGGGACAAGGGAATCTCTTCCCATGTCTGTTTCCCACCCCACAAGGATCCATAGCTTGGGACAGGCTAGCCTGACCTCAAGGGGCTACAGAACACGAGGGAATCTGAAGGGACCTGCCCATTCTCCCCTGGCTCCCAAGCCCAGCCTCCCAGATGGGCACAGATCGGCGGTGGAGTGTCCTCGCCCTTCCCCGTGGTCCCTGAAGCTGATGGGGACCATCAGCTGGCCTCCCCACCTCCTTCTGGGTCCCCTTCTCTTCAGACTGAGGGGACCGAGGAACGAGAGGTGGTCCCCAGGACAGCACGTCTCTGCTCCTGGGGAAGCGAAGTCCACGTCGGCCTGGCTGACGGTCCCCCCCCACGGTAGTGCAGGCGGGCTTCATGCTTGCTGAGGAGCAGACGAACTCGGGAGCCGGGAGAATGGGGGAAGAAAGCCCTGAATAGTTTATTGACACTGATTGGAAGCTGGTGCGCCCTCTCAGCCGCTGGACCAGTGATTCAAGTAAACGCTTAGGACAGGCGTCACGGTGCGGAAGGGACACAGGAGCCGAGCGCGCAGGCCCTGCCGTGGGCCCCTGGGACGCGGCCCAGGCGTCGAAGGACAGAGATCAGTCCCGAATGAGAATGTGGGAAGATCAGTGCCGAGCCCAGTGTGTGAGAGATGGCCACAAACGCTCCTTTCTCTTGGGGACCCCCGTCTGTGTGTAACCAGCCGGGGCCAGAAATGCGTCTCCAGGCCTGGGGCAATTGGGGCAGGACCACTGGCCAGCATGGCCCTCCACAGGTCCTTTGAGACCAGGCTACCCAGGCAGAAGTCACAGGTGAATGTCACCCTGGGTGGACATGGCCTTGATCTCCAGCAGTTCAGGCCAGAGCCCGTTCCTGGGCCCAGCATGGAGAGCGGATCATGGGCAGGAGACAGAGGAGGAAAGCAGTCTCTCCGCCTTTTCTGCTTAAAACTGACACAAGTCAATAAGAAACCAGGAACCTCGCCTCTGCAGCTCCCGGAAGTGTGTGGTGGTCTTGGGCTTGGGGGTCGGTGGGGTGGGGCCTTGGCTATAGGACATCCCGGTGGGTGCCTCAGCCTGGGAGGGGCCAGTGCTCAAATCACACCTCCCCATGCCTGGACACCATCCCAGAGGGGATGCCAGGAGGCCAACCGGCCTGGTGGTGTGGGGATGTCTGCCCATGGTGGGCTTGGAAAGGCTGAGGGGCCGAGCCCCCAGCTTTGCCCGGCATGGAGCAGCCCAGCAGGCCTCATAGGCTCTTGACCGCTGGGAGCGGTCTCTCCCAAGGGACCCAGACCCCCGACCCCCGCCGCAGTCTCCAGCCTGGCTCAAGGACGCGGCTCCCAGGCCATTACATTGAGCAGCCGTGGGGGGGGGTGGAAGCACTTGTGGCCACATCTACTGCCGGGAGGTGGCCACACTGAGTCAGGGGCTGTGTCCAGACCTGTCCCGACGCCTCGCCAGGCAGCACCTGCCCTTCGTGTGCTGGCTTCTCTCCAAGGCGGTGTGCGGAGCTGTGGGTGGGTCCCCGGGTCAGACATTGCTGACCCGGGCCTCCACCGAGGAGATGGCCGTGGAGCCTGTGTCCCCATCCAAGGGCCGCTCGCGCCTGACATAACGCGGCTTCCGCACTGAAACAGGGTCAGAGACAGGCAGGGTCAGAGTGGGGCCGGCACGGGAAGGATGGCCCTGGGTACTGGCCCTCCCTGGAGCTCCTAGGGGTGGGGTGCGGAGCAGTCGAGGGGAGGAGGTCCCACTGAGCCCCAGCCCGTGAGCAGAGTTGCTGCTGCTGCGGAGAGTGTCTGATGAAGGCCTCACTCATCGCAGACACCAGTGCCCCACGCCCCAAGCACCTCGGCCTGGGTGAGGGCCTTGCTCTCACAAGACACAGAGGCAACGGGTCCCGTGATGCACGCAGGGTGGCCCCCAAATGAACCCATGTCTGAAGCCCCAGAAGCTGCAGGTGCGACCTTACTTGGAAAAAGGGGATTTGCAGATGTGATTAAGGATCTTGAGATGAGATCCTCCCGGATTATCTGGGGGGGCCCTAAATCCAGCGACCAGCGTCCTCCCAAGAGGGAGCAGAGAGAGGAGACCCCGGAGAAGCCCCATGAAGACAGGGCCAAGTGGCGTGGTCACCAGCCCAGGGACGCCTAGAGCCACTGGGGGCGGGAAGTTCCCTCCCCTAGAGACTCGGGAGGGAGTGCCCCCCCAGCCCCCACCTTGACTTCTGCCTTCTGGCCTCCTGGACTGTGAGAGAG